AATCTTTCTGTTCACAGACTCTTCTGAAAGGCAGAAGAGGAGGGAGCACTTTCCTTTTTCTATGAGGACAGTATTACACTGATGTCAAAACCAGATGTAAAAAATACGAAAAAAGAAAACTATAGGCCAATATTCCTTATGAATATAGACACAACACTCTGCAATAAATTCTCAAGGGGAGATGAGGATTTTTACTTATTTATTAAACATGGCAGTGCCAGCCCGGCTGGCCACGGTCTCCTCTCCTGATCGGCTGGTTTCCCCTGGGCCGGTCTTGCGCACGTATCCCTGACCCTGCTGGCTGTGTGCAGTGACAGGGTGGCTCCTCCATCCTGGGAGGCTTCCTCTGCCCTTTCCAGGTTTCCCGTAGAAACAGGAAAAGTTTCAGGCTTTTCCCCAGAAAAGTGCCTGCTTACCTTTTCACTTACAACTTAGATTCAGTTTTCTGGGCTTCTGTTGGGGAATTCCCTCACTTTCTTTTGATCGAATCATTTAGAAGTATTTCTGTTGTAATTTGACCAGCATGTGAATTGTCTCTGCTTTTCAGATTGAGTGCAAGCGGTGCTAAAAGAAACCCCATTTGAGAACCACCATTCTCCGGGTTACTTATTCTTGCAACCCCCAGGTTCCAGTGAATCACTTTGCTTTGTGAATCACTTTGTCAGGTGTCTGAGCACTTTTCCGGCTGGGTGGCAATTCTGTCTGTGAAGTGTGTCCTCTCGACTGAACCTCAGCAGAGGCTGTCTTACCCATTGTGCACCCAGTGCCTGGCACACAGTAGGCCTTCAGAAATATTTATGAAACCATGAGAGATTCCCAAATTTTTGGGCGAGGAAGACCCTTTTCTGAGTGGCCCCAAATATTCCTCCTCTCACTCTACCTGCCCGTACCGAATACTCTTTGGTTTCAGTTCCAAAAGTTTCCCATCTGTGTGTGTGTCTGGAATGTTCCTCAGCTAGTCCTCCCATTGTTTCCAAGGCAACTTTGTCTATGGGAGCGTGATCCATCACTTTGCCTTCAGGAATGGATCCCAACTCTTTCTGTCCTCTTTCAGAAAGCCATCCAGAATTCTCTGGGAGACCTGGGTTTTGAACTTGTGAAAGGAACCCACCTTATTCTTAACTCACCAGGCCTGACCCCTGCCAGTTGCACCTGGCCAACAAAATCTAGCTGGACTGGGTCCCAAATTGCTCTTGCAGCATCCCAGGGATTTGGGGAGCAGAGTGCTGCTCCATGCACCCTCCAGATTCCTTGAGTGGCCTGCTGGGGCCCTGGCACTGAATGCAACGACAGGAGGCTGAGTAGCCCTTGAGGTCCTGACTCAGTGAGAGGCTGGATTGTTCTCCTGAAAGTGATATATTGTTGGTCAAGTGAAGTGGGAAGGTTCTTGGCTCTGCAACGGCCCCCTCCTTCCAGATCGACAGCCTCCTCCTAGGCTCAGCTCAACCTCATCTCCTCTGCAAAACCTTTCTAAGTATATTCTCCCAGAAAGAATTCAGACTTTGTCAAGCACGGGGCCCTAATGACTTCAAGTCCATTGTACTCACCAGGCAAGTTCATTAGTGAACACCTACTATGTGCTAGGCACTGGGATGGAGAATCCCAAAACAAACACAACTGCTTTCCTTCAGGAGTTACATGTATTGGAAGAGACAGAAATATGAACAAGAACCATCAGGGGACTGGGTGGTTAGGCTGTATCTTTAGAGATGAGAAGAAATTTACCAGGCAAACAAAGCCAGTGGTGAGGGTAGGGAGTGGGGCATCACGCCTTATTCTGTAAGTGCAAATTGCTCTGTACTGTTAGGACCAAGTTTGGGTGAAAGCGCACACTGAGTGGCAAATAAAAGCAGTGAGGCACACAGAGTCATGTGGGACTCCGTTCTGCAGGGGGGTGACACAGATTGGGGAGAGAGCTATTGCACAAGGATGAATGGGGAGAGAGGTCAGATTGGTGTTAGAAAAGTCACCTCCACAGTGTGTGAGGTTCAGGCTGGAGGGGTGTTCAATGAGGAGTTGGTCCAAAAGACAACAAAGAGGAGACACTTTGGGAGGTGCTTGAGAGCAAGAGCTGAAGGATTTGCTGAGCCACGTGCTGTGGTGTTGAAGGAAGAATTATAATGGCTCCCAAATTGCCCCTTTAGGGGAGCAGACTTATAGGAGGTAGACCCATTAATGAGCAGTCATACATTTCTGGGACAGGGTGACAGACTTTTGCTCCTGGCCCCTGAGATGCTGTGGACACCAGCTGAGGTCAGCCTGACTCTTAATCTCAGCCTGATGAGATTTTAAGAACTCCAATCAGGTTAGAATTCACATTTCTTGACCTGTGAAAAATCTCATCCCTTCCCATCTGTCCCTGGATTTTCTCTGAATTCTCAGGTTTAGATTCTTTTGGTCACTTCTGCCTCTGACTACATCAATTCCACTTCTGGCCGCCCTCACCATGCCAGACTCGTGCTTGCTCATCAGCACGTCAGTCCAGATGCCCCTCTTTGCTGGGGGAGCCAGTCGCTCACACAAGGCTTCATGCTCAGGGCAGAGTTATGCAAGATGTTGGTCGGGGGGAGGCATTGCGGGTATCACATCGAAGTGCAAAGAGCTAACAGCGTTGCATTGCCTCGGAGATCTTCTAATCTTAAAAAGTCTTTTGGGGTCCCCCAAGGGCAGCTGTTTCCCACTGGTGACCTTCCCATCTAGCATCTCATTCTCTCACCATCTTGTTGATTATACATGTTGCCAGCACTCGTTCCACCCCTGAGATATTTGAGGAAGTTACACATTCTTCTCATTCTCTTGTGCAGGAAAGAACTCCTTGTAACCCTGTCTGAGCTCAGCTCTTGGCCCGCCTTTTCGTTTCTGAAACTCATCTAATTTCTGGTTGACTAAAAGAGCATTTTGAGATGAACATCATCCACTTTGCTCAATGGGTAATCAGAATTTTAAATACCATTTTTCAACATTAGATACTTTTAATGATTATGAAAATGTTAAAATATTCTTCTTTAACAACTGTTTTCCACCTCTGTCCCAGCCCCCCAATGAACTTTCCCCTGTGGTAGCTGGAAACCCAAGGTGAGAAGGTGGGCACCTGCCGTCTGGGGCCCTTTGTCTGTGTGGGTCACCCTGGCCCTTCGTGGCTCCTGCTTCCCCCACCCCCACCCATACCCCTTCCCCGTCAATCTGAGGGCTGTTCAGTGCTGTTCGCTGGTCTCTTTGGATGAGATGAGGCCCCGGCAGGAGGTGGCTGAATCCGGGAGGGACTGATGGCCTGGGAAAAGGACCTTTCTTTTTCATAGGACGCCTTGTTCACAATGTTCCTCCTAGACCAATTTGGAGGACATCTTTGTCCTAGTTCCCAGCACCCAGTTGGTCACTGGGGCACTGGGATCATTTCTTATGACCGTGCCAGGCGGCCAGTTCTTTGTATCTTCCAAGTTCATCCCAGGACACCCAAGGGCCGTGGCTGCTGGAACGGGAGGGTCCTGGCACCAGCATCCCTGCCCTGCTAGGATCCCTCCGAGGGAGGAAGCTGAGGTGCTGCACGAGTGGGAAGCCTTCCAGTACACTCCAGGCCTGGAGTCTTCCTGACTGTCTGTCCATCCACCCAGGAGACAAGCTTTGGATCAAACTGCCAGTGGCATTAAGCGTTCAGAGAGGAGTGAGAAATTCTGCCCCTACTGCATATACAGTCCAGTGCAAAAAGACTGACAAGATAAATTCTGTAAAATACACCTAAAGCACCACCTATGGATGTGGAGAAGGGCCAGCACTGGGGTCTCCGGTTAAAACAGCAGCAGCCTTGGAGAGCACGTTGCGTAACACTGGAAAGTGTTTCACAGGCTGCTTTCCCGGGTGGCCGGGGAACTGGGTGCTCAGGCGACGTTGAGTCTGGACCTGGAGGCTGTGGAAGACCAGTCCCAGCTTCAGCACTGGAAGCTCCAACTCCACCCTGAGGCCAGCAGGGCGCCACTAACGGGAATGATGGGATTTGGGTTTCATTAAGTGCACTTACCAGCAGAGCAGATAAAGTCCCAGGGCCAAGGGAGCAGTTAGAAAGAAGGCTGGGCCCTGTGTCCAGCCATCATTCTATTGCAAGTTCATGAGAGGCAGGGCATGTGGCTGCTTTGTTCATCACTATTCTGAACGCAGACCCTGATATGCTCTGAGGTATCTTAGTGTTATGGACTGAATGGTTTTTCTCCCCAAATTTACACGTTGAAATCCTAATCCCCAATGTGATGGTACATGAAGGTGGAGCTTTTGGGAGGTGATTAGGTCATGAGGGTGGAGCCCTCATGAAATGGACCTAGTGCCCTTTGAGACCCCAGAGAGCACGTCCTTCCACCACGTGAGGGCAGAGACATACGTAAGTCTGTGAACCAGGAAGCCGGCTCTCACCAGACACCAGCATATCTCCTTACCCTGATCTTGGACTTCTGGAACTGTGAGAAATAAATGTTTGCTCTTTAAAGCCTTCAGTTTGTGGTATTTTTGTTATAGCAGCCTGAGCTAAGGCACAGAGCTGAGGCAGCCCGGGGAAGGCAGGACTTGGTGCAGACACTCGCTGAGGTGTCGCTCCTCCTGAGAGGCAGGCTGGGGAGTGGGGAGGCTGGGCCCAGTGTGCACCCTCCGTCTTTGTGCCAATGGCAGGAGCCGCTGCCTACAGAGCTGCACTTCCCTGCTGGGCTCACTCGACTATTTCTGACAGGAGTCACTTTTGATTCCTCAGGCTGCTTGGCCCCCACAGGGCAGCAGTGATGGGGTGGGACAGGGACAGGACTCATCTTTGGGGCCAGTGGACCACCTCTGCCTGCAGCCTCCTGGCTCTGGGTCACGCCTCTCTGGGGCCCTGGAAGCCCTGCCTTTGTAGTTGCAAAGGCCAACAGTGAAGTCAATTTGAGACTGGGAAACAGGGGACCCCGAAGTTCTGTTTTCTTAAGGTAAAAAGAAAAAGACTGACCAGAGTTTGAATTAAAAAAGTGTATTGGATTTCCAATGCTAAATAAAAACATGAAATTGTTTTTTAAAAAGCCATAGAGTTTACAGCATCAACTACAGAAAAGGCCAAACAAGTGTGTACAGCAACTGGCCCCCAGCAGCCCCTCAGTCCCCTCCAGCAGGTGACACAGCAGCAGACACATCTGTTCCAAATCCTCCCGAGGACGCTGCTGGGCAGCTGCTCCCGTAGGACATTACAAGACACATGATGGATGGTTTCGTTTCAAAAATCACAGGAAATGTAAGAAAAACGTATTAAATTGTGAAAAGGTGCAATACAGAATAACTTTCCTTTTTCTTAATTTTAAAAAATTCCCAACTTTGAGCAGTTACTTTATTTAAAAATAGCCACCCCCCCCCCCCCAAGCCCTGTGGCAGTGTCCAGTTACCAAGGCCCCGAGGTCAAAGGAACATCAGGGCTTGTGGGAGGGAAGGCCCTGAACACTGAGCAGTTTCTTTGGGCGAAAGGTGAGGAGGCTTCTGGAGACTCTGCCCCCGCCCCGACCCCGCGCCGGGCGCGGGGTGCTCAGAGTGCTTTTCAGGATCAGTGTGAATGCCCTGGCTCTACAGAACCCCGCCCGGCATTGTCCTCTGTGGCCAGTGGGTATGGCGGCAGGAGTCAGCATTGCACTTTCCATTGCCCCCAAAATAATAAATATAGAGTTCATCGTCTAGAAAAGCAAGTATGTGAGAAGACTTAAAAAGGGGGAAATAACCAAAGTACAAAGGCAAGCGGGTGCCTGTGGGCCAGGGCTGGGTACCCAGTGGAGGTCTCAGCAGATGACCTCTTCTTGGCTGTGGAACCAGAGCCCAGGTAGCCTTCCGCATTGCCTTACACACTCTTCTGGGGAAGATGCCTGAGTGTCTGTCCCGTATTTTCTCATAATACATTCTTAGTATTAAAAAAAAAAAGGAACCAACACCTCAGCTCCTTACCTCTTTAAGAAAAAGAAGTCAAGAACTACTTGTGAAGGCAAAGACTCCTGTGTGTGGTCAGGCCACCTGACATGCCCCAGAAACCTGCCGCTGGTTCTAACCAGGGGCTGAGCTGAGCTGCTGGGATTGGGGGGCGGGGTGGTAGTAGCTGCCTCCCGTGTCCGTCTCTGTCCCTCATCCCCTGCTACTTAAAGAACAATGCTCAGAAGGAAGCAGGGAGCCTCAGGGGCACTGCAGCCCCCACTGCCTCATTTTTGCCAGTGATTTTCCCAAGGGGCTCTGCAACACGGAAGTGACGGCTAGACTGGCTGAGGACAGGAAATGGAGAGAAGCAAGGAGTCCTAGGCGGAGACCAAGTTCCTTACTTAACCCCAGCTTCCCCAGTGGGAACAGATGACAAGAGCAGGCTGCGGTCCCCCTCCTGTCCTCTGAGTCCCCAGGAACAAGGCAGGCTGTGGACCTGTTCCACCTCACTCCTGTGAGTGGAAACGTGGCGCCTGCCTGCTCAGCGCGGACACTCTCGTCAGGGTCTGACCAAGACGCCAGGGCCTCTACATCCTCAAACCCACCTATTGCACAGAAGAGTTTTTTCACTAGACTCAAATGAAACTCCAGTTGCAACTTACTGACAACAGAGATGGACATGCCAGGAAAGGACAATAACGTAGATGCCTCCCTTCTCCACAGGCTTCTGGAGGAAAGTACTATGACTGAAACAGTCACAGGACCTCGGCAGCCCCTCAACTGCCCATTCCCAGTCCTCCCCAGTCCACCCCGACCCCAATACTGAAACTGCACAGAAGCAATAAGCAAGTCTTTTCAATGTTACACATCATTCAAATAGATCTGTAATCTCACAGTGATGAGAGGAGAAAGTCAGGCCTTTAATAATTATAATAAAAAAAATAATAAAAAAGCTTACAAACAGCAATGCAACATTTCCTCCCCCCTCAAAGTGATGGGTTAACAGCTGGTAGAGGATGCAATGATTCATAATTAAGAATAAAAACAAAAACAAAAAAACAAGCCAATCCCTGGAACAACGCACATTGTTGATGACTGTCCATCATAATTCAAACAAGTAGTCAAATGCCAACCACTTGTGGAGAACACCACAGACTTCCTTGGTTTCGATAGTGTTTTACTTGTGAAGGTAAAATAGGACGCAAATAAAACTGTACATAAATGCAACATCTACACCCCACAAAGGCGATGCAGCCGCAGCATGAAGCACTGCCTGACCACGGAGTGAAACGCAGGTGGTGTTTCCTGCCTCTTCCCAGGACATGACACTTTGGCAGTTCCACCAGTCCTGCAGGTCCCAGCAGGCAAAGGGAAGCTGGCCTCCACATGGGCTTCCTCCGGACTGACCAGGAGAAGGCAGGTGGCCGTGGCTAGAGGCAGCCCCGCGCGGGGGGCGCGGGCGGATCTGCATGCTCACTCTGCGTTCTCAAGTGCTGTCCTCTTGTCCTCTGTACAATTCCTCGCTTTCAAGGCTAAGTCCCAAGACTTCTAGACTCAGGGCTGGAGTCACGTCCTGGTGAAGGCTGTCATGCTGTCGTGATGGCATTTAGGTCCTTCATCAGTCCTTCCAGGTGGGCCATCTCTTTGGTCAGCTCATCTGGTTCATAGCTCTACGGAGGAGAGCACACTGTTAACGGGTGTGGTCCGAGGAGCCAGCCAGAAGGAGAGCCCAGAGACAGTCAAAGCGTCTGTGCCAAACTGCCCCTAGAGACATACTACCAAAGCCCTGGCTGGCCGGAGCAGTCAAGAGATTACAGGAGGTGCCAGGGCCGCTAAGCCCTTGAGTCGGCACTCCCTGATTTCTTCACACTGCCCAACGCCTCTCCCGCAACACACTCGGTCCAGAGCAGCAAGCTGCTCAGCCTGTCTGTGTCTCTGTTACAGTCAATACAGTTGCCATGTCCCCTAATCTCTGGGCCCGAAGCCTTCCTCTTAAAGAGTCCTGTACCTGGACACACAGAGGCAAATGTCTTTTTTGGAATTTGAGAGAGAAAAATCAAGGAGAGGCCCTGTTGGTTTTTGGTTCCAGAGTATCCACTCAAGTGCCTTCCCATCCAGCATCCTGCTCAGGAAAGGTCATGAAGTGGGACTGAAGGGGGAAAGAAGATGTGGCTGATTCAAACCAAGAAGAGAGTACCAGGGAGATAGGGCAGACTAAAAGAAAGGCCAGGGGCAGGCAGGGGAGAGAAAAATCACTAGCTAGGCTGGTGAGATGAGCTGGGCTGGAGAGGCTGAGAGGAAGCCTCGGCACAGTTCCCGGCTCCGAAGATGCCCGCTGGCGCACATCTGCTGGGTGAAGAATGAATCTGCTTCCTACCCTGGGACAGCGCACTGTCAGGCCCTGGGACATGCCCCTAGTCATCCTGGCTGGGCCGAGAGCTCCATGAACTTACGCTTTCAGAGTCTTCCAGCATCCTCGTGGTCTCCTGCACTTCAGGGGCACTGGGAACCACCACGGGCACAGGAGGCCTGCTCCTTCCTAAAGTCCCGATGGAGGCCGTCTTCACCGAGTGAATGTGGTGGTTCAGAGCTGAGGGGAACGGACACCGTCAAGTGTGTCGTTGAGCCTGCTCCCACCCAGACCTCACGAAGGGACGTAAAGTCCAAATGCTGCTTCAAGGTGATGGATGCACCCAGACCCAGTGCACAACCCTGCTCTGAGAAGGCACTGGGACACGGTGGAAGGGAGGAGAAAGGGTACCCGAAAGGCCTGAGAAAATATTCCATTTGCTTTTAGAAAACTAACCCCTCAGTGGGCCTCAAAATGTAGTGGTCCACGGACCCCCTGCAGGATGTCTCATAGATCAAATTCTTTTCATAATAATACTAAGGAATTTTCTGCCTCTACATTGGTGCTGTAAGAGCAACGGCAGGGTCACATTGCTGGAGCCCGGGCAGAAATGAAGGCAGTGGCACCGAACTGCAAAGTCACTCAATGACGCAAACCTGCACTTTAAAAAACAGTCAGTTTAATGTAAGACCATCCTTAATGAAATATAAAAATTATTGTATTAAATCTCGACTGTGATTACACATCTGCTAAATGTCCTGTGACAGAATGGAAAGTATGCACACAGCATGCTGTCTCCGTGCCAGTGTGGAACAGCCTGAGCTGCCCGCTGCACGATCGTTTGTGCCACCAACAACAACGCCGCCACAAAACAGCCTGACAAGTCAGTGACGTGGACGTGAGCATTTGGCAGACATTTTTTAGAGAGTGAATGAAGAAGGCCAATCACATCAAGGAAAACAATGGACAGTATTTATTACCAATAACAAAACTTAAGTTTCAAGTTTTTACTAGAACTTTGAAAGAACTTTACTGGAGCTTTGAAAGCCTTGTATCTGCCACCTGAGTTTGAGAGCTTCCCAATATTTAAAAACTTTGGTAATATAAGTGAATATTTTAAGATATTATATAATGACATGTAAAAAGATTTGTAGGAGCTGTATAACCACACAGTAAACCAGTATCTCCCAAATAAGTAATGTGTGTGTTCCATGAAATGCATTCAAAATACAAAATAGATGGGTTTTAATGGAACAGAGATGGTTTCTGACTCCACGTTACAAATAAAAATGTAAGAAACTACAACTTGCTGAGTTTCGCTGTAGATCAGAAAGAATATCCATGGTTATCTGAAAAAGTTGTAAAAATACTCTTCTCTTTTTCAACTACGTATTTATGAGGCCAGATTTTTTTCTTATACCTCAATCAAAACAACATATTGCAACAGACTGAACGCAGAAGCAGGTAGGAGAAGGGAGCTGTCTACTATCAAACGGCATGCTAAAGAGATTTGTAAAAATATAAACACAATGTCACTATTCTCCCTTTATTTTTGTTTTGAAAAAGTTTTTTCATAAAAATATGCTATTAGCTTAATATGATAGATGTATTGCTATTTTTCTTTTCCTTTGTCTTCGCCTGAGGACATTTTTTCATTGCTTTCAGAGAGAGTGGAAGGGAGAAAGAGGAATATCAATGCGAGAAAGAAGCATAGATTGACTGCCTCCCATATGTGCTCAGATGGGGATGGAACCCACAACCTAGGTATGTGCTCTGACTGGCAAGTGACCTTGCAACCTTTTGGCTTTGAGACAATGCTCCAACCCACTGAGCCACACTGACCAGGGCTGTATGGCTGTTTTTAAATAAATAAAATAGTGTTAAAATTTCTCAGTTTTAATTTCTAACGTAGTACATATTAAGGAAAAGCTCTTTTGTGTCCCTGATGACCTTTAAGAATATGAAGAGGTCTTGAGACCAAAAGGCTTGAAAACCACTGACTTATCCCGAAACATACCATCACAATAGATAATAATGTGGAAGGGCAGGGGAAAAGCATGCCTTTGAGGTCAGGAGATTTTGGTTTAGTTGCGTGAACTCAGAATTCACTTCCTAAGGCTCCTCCTTTTTCCTCAGCCCTGGCCTCCTTGCCCCTCCCTCCTCTGGCTCGAGAGACCCTGCGCAGGGAGGCGGCTCTGGGAAGCTGAGCGGCGGAGATCTGCCGCTCACAGCCAGGCTACCAGAGGTAACCACTGAGGATCCTGCGCCCAGACTGCAACCGACAGAGTCAGTCCTCATTCCATGGCTGGTCAGTCTCTGGTTCCTGCGCATTGCCCAGCAGGGAGCCCATACCCTCCCTCAGAGGGGGAATGACACCCTGCTACTCTAAATTGCTGGGAGAAGCGTAGAGGGTATTTGTTCCGTTATTCTTTAAAGAATAGGCGACTTTCGCCATAATCCAGAGCCAAAGGGTGCCTGCAGTGCTGCTGTCCTCACTCACCTTGCTGGGCCAGTAATGGTGTGCTTGGCAGTGCAGGGTCATAGGCGGCAGGGCCTGGGGGCGGGATGGCAGGCACAGCGAAGCTCTTCAATGGGTGGGAAGGGCGGACGTGGGCAGTAGGAAGACTCTGGCCTGAATCTTCCTCTTGGGAGCTGGCCAAGTAAGAGGAGCTGGTAGCACCTTCAGGATCCTGGTGATCAGTACAGCACGTTTGAGACGAGGAGGCTGGCATGGTGTCAGTGCTGGGGGTATTTCGAACAGACTCTACAGCAGGAAAATCTAGATGTTAGCGTTTTTCAAACCATTAAACATACGTACACCCCAAGGTTCTGGCTGTTTCTAGGGCTCCTGAAAGCAGCTGAATAAGCACCGAGGACCCTGGACTGTCACTGCCGCCAAGGCTGAGCTGGACTCGACTGATCTCCAAACGGTTTCAAACAGTTGTGTCAATCAACTGCTGGAATTCTTTTCACCTACTACACAGTTCAGTGGTCACAATTTTACAGATTTAAAGTTCTCCTCGGTATTTACTATAAAGCACATATAACGGTTCATGAGACTGTAAATAATTGTAAAAGAAAATTTAAAATTTCACTCACTGATAGGCGTAGGTCTGGCCTTTCATTGGTAACATGCCTAGTCACCAAGGCTGGCTGGGTACCTGACCAGTAGCAGCGTGGCCTAGCGGTTACTGTAAGAGTCGATGCCACAGGCCCTGCCTGCCTTCGGGGGACCGTGCATGGCCTCACCAGAGCAACGGCCCCACGGCTCGAGTGAGACCTGGACGACCAACTAGTCCAGACGTCCACACAGAGCTTTAAGATTAGGTCATATGACGGGTGTTGGGGCCAGAGAAAGAAATGGGGTTAGGTCAGCCTAGAGAAGGGGAAGATTCAGGAAGAACACAGTAACAATCTTAAAATTTGTGAAAAAGGGTCAGAGTTATTTTGGAAGGCAGCATGATGGGGTAGAAAAAACACTGACTTTGGATCAGATAGACCTGGACTCTAACCTTGGCATACTAGCTGGGTGAACTTGGCAGTCACTGAATCTGAGTCTCATTTTCTTTACCTAAAAAACAGGGAGAATAACATACGATTCACTGGGGATTAATTGAGAAGACTTATGGAAAGTGCTGAACATGAGGCTTGAATAAGGTTCTTTTCTTTGTCAATTATTGAGTGCCTTATACTCACTGCTCACTCAATCCTCAGAATAACTCAGAAAGCACTGGGAGGTTGAGCCCTGCGCTAGGACAGGGTGAGAACAGGGAAGGCAGAAATCTGTATTCCACGTTGGACTCCCAAGCCCAGGCTCCAAACCACCACACGTTATTCTGCCCCTCCATGCCCAATGCCACCGCCCCGAGTCTGTAGGAGTAACAGCAGCCAAAGCCCAGGGAGACCATATGAGGAGAACAAGGGAAGCTGATTCAAATCACCATTTGTACCCGAGGAAGGGCCTAGAGGACACCAGCTCAGAATAAGAGGCTGTACCAGGCAGCCTGAAGGAGGGCCTCGCCTGACTCCTAGAGTCCTCACCCTTAAAAAAGGAAATGACCCTGTTAAGTAGCAATGCATGAACAGCCTGCAGGAATCCAGCCTACTTCCCTGCTGTTGTAGCTGAGGCAGCAGGGAATCTGTTCCCTTGGGCTCTCAGGAGACAGGCCATGACAGTTATGAGTGCTACCCTTTAGCTTAAAGGTCTTGGGTCCCAGGGATGAAGCACTCCCCACCCTCCTCAAGTGCTGAAAGCCTGGCTGTGACAGTCCTACCAGGCCTAGGACAGTTCTCATTCTCCCAAAGGGTGGCTGGGGATGTCACTTCTTATGCTTGTTTAAGTCAGCCACCAGCACAGCTGGGAGCTGCTGGTCCGCTCCATGTGACCTGGGCTCAGGCCGGGAGGAAGCCGTGAGGGTGGGGAGGGACGAGGAGAGAGAGAGCAGGCTTCAGCCTGGATCATGTCAGCCTGTACCAGCAGATGTGTCAGGTCACTCTGGGCACACAGGCCTACCCTGGCTGCCTGAGCCGCCTTAATTTAATAAGCTTCTGAAAGCCAAAGAGATGGTGGCCAATGTGAGAAGGTAACAGTGCTGCCTACGTGAGTCAGAGCTGTTTCTGGCTGTACAGATGCAGAGTGCGACAGGGACACTCTGGGAAGGGCGCAGCTGACACCCACTACTGGCCTGTCAGGAAAACTAGGCTGTAACAGAAGTTCCTGTCGGTGCGGGGCTGACCTCCTGACTCTCAGAGTTGTTTAGGACACACAATGATTTGGCCAAGTGGGAACTGCTCTCCCTACGTCAGCGGTGGTGCCGCAGTGAATGCTTGTGGAGCAAGGACTGCCTGGGCCAAGTCCCTGTCCTCTGAGCCCACACAGACAGGGCTGTGGCAGCACTGAGATCCAGAGACACAGGAAAATACAACGTAAGAGACCTCTGATCACTTCTAGATACTTGCTCTCTATCTTCAGTGACTCTATCACTAGTTTTACCTTCTTTTATCCCATCTGGCCACTGGAAAAAAAAACCCCTCCAGTAATGCAAGTCATCACTTTCTCTCTCTTCCCTGCCACCCGAGTACACATAACACGGCGCTTTCACCAAGGCTAGGCCATGAGGATGAGGGCTGGTGGGAGCTGCCAGCTTCTGGCCCCCCTCACCCCTCACTGACTGGGAGGAAGGGAGAGGGCCAATCTGCCTGGGAAGAGCCCACTGTGCACTCAGGCAGGCCCGCATCCTTGAGGGGGACATTTCTCTGCCTCAGGACACAAGGCTGCTTCCTATGAGTAGGTCTGAGGGTGACTTTCTGGTCCCTGTTCTACCTGAGACTATGGATGGGAGACAGACTTGGTTCTCCATACAGACACATGTGCTCTGTCTTACCCTAGAGGCAGGACCCAAAACTTGGACATGAGTTCAAGCAGCATTCTCCAAACCAAGGCAAGGTTTGGAGGAGATAACTTTGGGAGTTATCTGGCATCCCTTAATAAAGCCTTGATCTTCACAGGATGCTTTGGGTATGTCTGTAATGGATCAAAACGTGAAGGAGAGGGGATGCGTACTGGCAGGATAAACTCCTATTATGAAGTTCTGAGGTTCTCTTAAAATGGAATTCACTTGAAATCCTCTTATTTTCCAGAACCACCAACACTTAGTTCTAGTAACATCTTAACGATTAAAAGACAAGTTTCAAAGGGTAAAAAAAGAGTATGCTACATATATGAGACATTGCTAGATTTGTACCTTAAAACTGAGGGTGAAAATTAATTTGATTTTATTAATAAACAATCGTATCTGTTTCATTTACTGTCCCTTCACTTTCATTATTCCCTCCAAGAAGTTGTTTTGAGGATGCTGTTCTTAAGGTTTCCAAACTGGGACACGTTTGTCTGGCAATGTGTTTCTTTAAATACACTGCAGATTGTTAGGCTAATTTCCTATCTGTGCAGCCCTTCCTCATGCCAGTGATCCACAAGGCAACCTAAGGTTTAGAGTGTGCACCCGCTCCATGCGGCTGCTGGCCTGCCACCTAGGACGTAGCTCTCACTCCGCCCCCCAGCAGGGACGAAAGGCCTGCCGTGAGCGGTGCCTGTGCTGCCCTGCGGACCCTCCCAACATCAGCGTGGCTGAGAGGCGAAATCAACCTCTAGTTTCTGAGAAGCCCTCGCTGGGTCTCATTTCAAATTGGAGTGTTAAAAAAAGTAAATTAACCAAAAATATAACTGAATTAAGATACAAATTGATGGAACAAGACATGCTTATAGAATTAGAGTTATTGTGTTTTATCTAAAGCAACTTGCACTGAGCACTTAAAACTTTGGAAGAAAAACAGTAAATTTTAGAGAAACACATGAGTCAGGAACAGAAATGTTATGATAAATATGTAACACTCAGAAAAACTCCAAATCCTCCTAAGCAGGGTAAGTCCTTCCCCATTTCAGCTTGCCAACTCTTTTGGAAGGCTTTCTCCCTGGGCTCGGCCCTCGTCTCTCACCTGTGGAATTGGCCCTGTCTGAAAGGGACATGGATGTGCCAATGGGCCATGGGCTGCCTGGGTGGTAGAGATGACTGCGAGCTGGAGAAGCGAGGCTGCTGGAGTGGAAATGATGGTGAGGGTTATCGAGGGAATGGATGGGATGGGCACTAATCACAGCTGTGAATGAACACAAGACAGAGAAATGCTTAACATGCTTGCACAGACACACACAAATCACAATTCAAGAGCAAAGCCCTCCCTTCCCCTCCCACACAGTGCGGCCATTCCCTTGGTTTTCTGGTGGCAGCTGGCTAGATTTGGACAATTAGCCACAGATTTTACATTTGTTTTAAAAAAACCAACCTACTCCTGTGCATACGTCTATCTATCTACACACAGGAAAAGAAGTCTGGGGAATACATACTAAAATGTTAATGGTGGTCATCTAGAAGAGTGATCAGGATTAAAACATTTTTTTACTTTTGGTTTGTATTTCCAATGCTTCTACAATGAACATGGATTATATGAGTTATTAAAAGTCTACTTGAATATGTCACATAATGTAAATCCATAAGAAATGATGATTTAGGTTTCTATAATTTTTCTCCTGCAAATGGGATGTTAAGTCCCTTCTCCTTCACATACATTCCTAATTCAATCCACCTTTTCTTATTTGTTGAATGAAGCATGCAATAGGTATTTAGGCTGAATGAATGAGTAGCTGTTTAATCAGTTTTCCTATCTTAAAAGGAATGCAAATGGAACTGAACTCTTATGGTTCAATCCGGCACTAAAAGCTAAAACTATTGCACTGTCTCTTACAACTTCCAGTCTGGGAACTCAGCCACATCCACTCACATTTTAAAATATACATAGATTTTTCTTAATTGACTCTTCCCTTCTCACACTGGCTAGGAAATTAAATTTGCTGCATTTAGCTAAGAAATCCCTATTTCCACACAGATGTTCCATATACAACTTTCTATGAAGACAAAGCACTTATTTAATGAGGCTTCATTGTCAATCCCAGGGACGGAAACAAAACCAGAAGGCCAGTTTGGTAGTTCTCCCTAGAAGAGTTGTAGAAACTCTTCTGTAGAAGAGTTAATATCAAGACAACCTCAAAGGCCCCCCAAATAGGCACATAGGTAGGGGCCTCTAGGAACACAGGGGATCTTCTATTCTCTAAGCAAGGGCCTCAAGAACTTTGTGATGAAATCGGTTAGCCTTTGGAGCCTAGGACGGTGTCTTCTGTTATGTGGATCTCCGTAGATATTTGTAGGGCCACTCAACAGTGCCCTGGTGAAAGGAATCTCAGCCAATAAGAGACACCCCGTTCTTCTCCAGCCATCTCCTATCCTGGCCACATGCAAATAAGCAGGTGGCACAACCAGCTAGGGACCCTGGAATGTCACTGGCCCTCCTCAAGGCCTGGGGACACCACAAGGATATTCCCTGCTCAGGGAGCAGAAGCTCAGGTGGTCCTTTGGGATAAAACACAACTGGGAAAAGCTGGCTGAGGAAGGTTTGCAGGGTAGTTTCTGAGTCAGCATCTCTTCTAGGCAAAGACAAGTGGTTTCCAGAAGCAGGGCTTCAGAGCCAGAGTTTTCCAGAATTAAGGCCAGGATGAGGGGAATAAGCCGCCTGACTTTTACCTACTTGAAAGCATCCTAGGTAGAGAGGACTCTCACAAAAGAAAAAACAAAATCGACTCTTTTTTTAAAGGCACTCCTAGTCTTTCCAAATGAAGTAAATAAGATGTAAGACAATGTGAAAGTGACTGCCTGGAAGAGGCCACCACTGGCTGCTGGGTGGACCTGGACCCGACACTGCTGGGCAAGGCCTTCTTGGCTGTGCGCAGCCATTTAATTTAAGGTTAGAGCAGGTGGCGGGTGGGTACAGACTCCAGCCACATAGGGAAAGAGGTATCTCAAAACCTGAAGATAAAAATATTACAGGTGCCTGGTTTCAGGTTCTTAACGATTCCACTTACCCACCCTACTACTGAGGTACAAATTAAATAATATCTCAGATTTATGCATATTCCACCATAAAAAAAAAAGGAATGATATCAACTGGTACAGCATGTCTTTCCTTCTTAACGTATTTAAAAGCATCAAATCCAGGAATAGGAATGGTCAAACTTCACAAGTTTTAAAAAATAGACCAGTAAGGTAAGACCTAAAGTCTTATACAAAACAAACAGTAAAGTTACCACCTTATAAATCAAAAGGAACTGGAATGGATTAACTTATGCTTTTCGGACATTTGCAATTTTACACCTGGGGACTCTGTTATAGAGGGAAACCATGGTTTTGCCCCGCACACTTCCAAATGCAGACCCCTAGGCAAAACCTACTTTGTGCAGAAATGACCTATTCATGAACTGGCCCTTACTCTTCCAAAGCTGATTTTTAAAATCTAGGGCTAACAATGTTTGTGCACAGTGAGTGAGTATGAGAAAGAGAGTGTGTGGAAACACTTACATTCTCAGTTCCCAAGAACAGGGTACCACGGTGTACCCACATGTGTGTAGAAATCTGTGATTATTTAAATCTCTGACACTACTGAGGTGGCTGAAGTTCTGAAATGGGACATCTTTTAAGAAATAAATAAAAAATTCAGAAGCTCATTTAGGTTAAACTGAAAAGTGAACTTTCAGGATTTGATGCTTTCTGTATTTGAATCTGGGTTTCCGACAGTGTTGAGGCTTGCCGGTCTACAGTGCAGGTCAGAGCGAATACTTCAAGTAGTTCGTAAAACTTGATCCTGATAGGCAGGTGGCTTCTTACCATCCCTAGGATGGTACAGGGGACCCTCCACTGGAAGTACCACTGTGCCAGCTGATCTAAAAGGCTTAGTTTGAAAAAAAGAATTGCTTTTTTGGTTTTCAATTATGATATTTAACTTATTTTGAATTTCAAATATTTCTACAGGAGGTTGGGTAACTTTAATGCTGATCAAAGTGAGGCCCTTGGGTCAGATAAGACTGAAAATATTGCTTTAAAAACTCTGTATTGCCAACGTCAAACTCCTCTAAAATAAAGTCTACTAATCAAAAGAAATTCCACAGGTGCCTATCGACACTGAATAGGTGTCAGGAAGCTTAAGGAGTACTGACACCTGGATGTCCTTAGCCCCGGCCTGGACAGGTGTTTCCCCATCTTTCCTGCAGAGATGCTATGCACTTTTAGGGAGACTGGTTACTTCCCTGTTCCTGGGAGACTGGGAAGTTGGCTTTTTACCTCCTTTTCCCTATAATTAAAGCTAGTCTCAATAATATTAATTGCAAAATATGGAAACTTTTTGATACTTCTTCTCTCAAGTTGCCAAAGCTCTGGTAGATTGTCTTTTGTTAGGATCAAGTGAAGCCAAAGACATCATTCATAGTTGCTCCCCAATATGACTGAATCGACTGGCAGAACTAGAGAAATGAGACACTTTTAACTTACGCTGGGGTGGCTGGGAGTCAAAGGGCATCATCATTTTTGGTCTCATTCCCCGCCTTCCGGCCAGTGTAGACATGCTGTCCTCTGATTCATGTCCTAGATATCAAACATGAAAGCTGGTTACAAGTGTGTGCTGTCAGCCACCAAGAAGCCTCAGCAATGAAACATTTCCAGTGGGCAATTGACAAACAAGAAAACGGGGACAAGGTTTTTCTGCAGGAAGTGAAATAAAGAGGAAAATGATCATTAGCACATTACAGGAGTCCCTTCTGAGAGTCAGTGCTGCTGTCTACCATGCTCCAGTGTGGCAGCTCTAAGAGCATCCAGACCAAGAACATTCTGAACAACGAGAGCTGGACTCCAACTGAAGGGGCAGAACAAAATGCACAGACAAGGGCTAGGTTATCTCAAATGCTTGAGTATCAAGGTGGGGAAGCCCAATGAAAGACCTAAGAGATCTAAAAGGTGTCTCATCTGGGTACAAAGCCTGTGCCCCATAACAAGCTAGCTATCCACCATCATCTGTTGATCAAATCCCATAACACATACTTCTTTCAATCTCACCTCGTATAGGAATCATCAAATTTAAGGCAACCTAATAAAATGAAAAATGATTTAAATGAAAACAGTCTCCCAACACTTGGGGAAAACCTGCACCTCTGTATGAATTCCGCCTTTGATGGATGTTGCTGTCCATGGAATTGTCAACTGGTGTAATATCTTGAGAGTTACGAGGAATTGGCGTATCAGTCATGATAGGGTTTGGGTCTGGAGACTTATCGATGGGTTTCAGCTCCAGTCTCTCATGATGGATCCAGAGGTCTGGGGGTTTGACGTCTTTGGAGTTCCCTTTGTACTTGTGGGAGCCATTCACTGACTTACAAGCAGCTCGTTTCCTAGGCAGAAAATTAACAGGATTTTTTAAAAGTAACTCTTCTAAACATATTTGTCAAAAGGTTTGACAGATTAAAACTTCCCTTCTGAGAGGTGCTTCAGGGAAAGGCAGAACTAAAAACAAAGAAGAAAAACAGAGGCAAGCACTTTACTTCTGGGAATAGTAAAAGTACCTCTTCTTTGCATATATTGTTAGATACATGTACAGGGCATATTTAAATATTGCCTTCTGACTTTTGTTTTAGTATCAAGAGATTAGACAGTATTTTTAAATCAAATAATCTCCAAAGCAGAAGGTTCCTCCAGTCACTAGAGAAAGGACAACATTCACTAGAAATATAACACCGGAGTAGAGGGAGCATCGATGGCTTATAAAGGTGGAGGAACAACATTTCATTTTACTTTATATTTTTATTTTTAAAATTAAATTTATCGGGGGAAACATTGTTTAATCACATTATATAAGCTTCAGGTGTATGTTTTTGTAATACAACATCGGTATACTCTACTGCTTACCACCAAAAGTTGTCTCCTTCCATCACCATATATTTGACCCCCTTTGCTCTATTCTTCCTCCCCACCCTTTTCCCCCTATGGTAACCAGCAATATGCTGTATCTATGAGTCTGTTTATTTTCTTTGAACAACATTTTAGTCCTAGTCCAAACTAGGACTAGCAACTGAGTAAAATCAAGAGTGTAGATGACAGTGCCTATTTCTCTGTGCCATAGTTTCTCCATTAAGTCACTCACTCACCCATTCAATAAACATTTATTACGTGCCTACTGTATGTCAGATCATGTGCCAGACTGCTGTACCTTCAGCACTTCTGGTTGAATGAGGAAAGGCAGATACTGAATGATTATTTTAAAGTAGTCTGAATATAATGGAATGCCAAGTGTTACTTACAGTAAAGCTTCCTAACATGTCAACAAACTGGACAACCTAAATAAAATGGATAATTCCTAGAAACATACAATCTTCCAAACCTAAATCAGAAAGAATCAAGAGAATCTGAGTAGACAGATTACATCTACTAGTAATTAAAAAACTCCCAATAAACAAAAGCCCTGGACCAGATGGCCTCACAGGTGAATTTTACTAAACATTCCAAGAAAAATTAATACCTCTCCTCAAACTATTTCGAAAAGTTTAGGAGGGAAGACTCTTAAACCCATTTTATGAGGCCAACATTATCCTAATTTCAAAACCAGATAAAGACACTACAAAGGAAATTATAGGCCAACATCCCTGATGAACAAGATGCTAAAATCCTCAACAGACTATTAGCAAACTGAATAGAGCAATGGATCAAAAAGATCATACACTCTGATCAAGTGGGATTTATTCTGGCAATGCAAGGTTGGTACAACATTTACAAATCAATAAATGTGATTCACTACATAAACAAAATGAAGGATAAAACCCACATGATTATATCAATAAATGCAGAGAAAGCATTTGATAAATACCAGCACCTATTTATGGGAAAAATTCAGCAAATTGGGATTAGAGGGAACATACCTAAACATAATAAAGGACATATATGACAAACCTCACACACAATGGGCAAAAACTACAAGTGTTCCCCTTATATCAAGAACAAGACAGGGATGTCTGCTTTGACCTCTCTTATTCAACACAATACTGGAAGTTCTAGCCAATCAGACAAGAGGAGGAAATAGAAAGCATCCAGATTGGAAAGGAAGAAGTAAAACTGTCTTTCTTTGCAGATGATACGATACTGTACATAGAGAACCCAAAAGACTCCACCAAGAAAACATTAGAACTGATAAATGAATTCAGCAAAGTACCAGGATACAAAATTAGTATTCATTAATTAGTTGCATTTTTATAGCCAATAATGAACAGAAAGGAAAATTAAGAAAACGATCCCATTCACAATTGCTTCAAAAAGAATACCTAGGAATAAATCTAACCAAGGATGTAAAAGACCTGTACTCAGGAAATTATAAGACATTGGAGAAAGAACCTGAAGAAGATACAAATAAGTGGAAGCACATACCATGTTCATGGATAGGAAGTATTAGCATCATTAAAATGTCCATACTACTCAAAGAAAGCTACAGATTCAATGCAATTCCTACCAAGATTCCAATGATGTATTTCACAGAACTAGAACAAATATTTAAAAAATTTATATGGAACCACAAAAGACACAAGCATAGCAACAATGATCGTGAGAAAGATGAATAAATATGGAGGAATCAGGCTACCTAATATCAAACTATACTATAAGGCCATAATGATCCAAACAGCATGGTACTGGCATAAAACAGACACATAGATCAATGGGACAGAACAGAGAACCCAGAAATAAACCTTTATAGTCAATTAGTATTTGATAGAGGAAGCAAGCACATAAAATGGGTTAAAGACAGTTTATTCAATAAATTGTGTGGGGAAAACTGGGCAGTTATGTGTAGAAAAATGAAACTAGATCACCTTCTTACACTACACACAAGCATAAATTCATAATGGACTAAAGACTTAAATGTTAGGCTCAAAATCATAAAAACTGTAGAAGAAAACATAGGCAGCAAAATCTTGGACATTGCCGGTAGCAATATTTTATCGAATATATCTACCCAGGTAAGGGAAAGAAAAGAAAAAAAATAAACAAATGGGACTACATCAAATGAGAAAGTTTTGCACAGCAAAGGAAGTCATCAACAAAATGAACAGACAACCCACAGAATGGGAGAACATATTTCCTGATACATCTAATAAGGGGGCTAATATTCAAAATTTAAAAAGAACTTACAAAACTCAACACCAAAAAAAAAAAAATCCAGTTAAAAAAAATGGGCAAAGGACCTGATTAGACATTTCTCCAAAGAGGACAAGAGGGCCAATAGACATACGAAAAGATGCTCAACGTCACTAATCATCAGAGAAATGCAAATTAAAATCACAATGAGATATCATCTCACAGTGGTCATAATGGCCATCATCAGTAAATCAACAAACAGCAAGTGCCGGAGAGGATTTAAAGAAAAGGGAACCCTCATGCAATGTTGGGAATGCTGACTGGTGTAGCCACTGCAGAAAGCAGTACAGAGAAGCCTCAAAGTATTAAAAATGGATCTGCCTTATGATCCACCGACCCCACTTCTGGGAATATATCTGAAGGAACCCTCTTAACACTAATTAGAAAGAGCATTAAGCACCCTTATATTCACTGCAGCATTATTTGCAATCCCTAAGACATGGAAACAGCCCAACTATCCATCAGTAGATGAGAAGATAAAACAACTGTGGGACATTTACACAATGGAATACTACTTGGCCATAAAAAAGAAGAAAATTTTATCCTTTGTGACAGTATGGATGGACCTGGAGAACATTATACTAAGTGAAATAAGCCAGTCAGAGAAAGACAAATAGCATACGATTTCAATTTCACTCATCTGCGGAATCTAATGAACAAACTGAACAAACAAGGAAAAGACACAGACTCATACGTAAGAGTCTGTCACGTAAGAGGATGACAGCTAAGGCAGGGAGGGGAGGTTAGCGGGTGGAGGGATTGAACAAAAAAGGAGAAAGGATTCAGGGACCTGGACAACAGTGTGGTGACTGCTGGGGGTTTTAAGGGGACTAAATGGCAATAGAAAAAAAAATCTACCAAAAAAAATGGTAAAAAAGAAAAAAGAACCATTCTGCATTTCCTTTAGAAATATTTAAAAAAATCACTTTTCATGTATTTTATGTTTTAACTCTGTTAAACTCCAAATACTGAAGTCACATAGAAGCAAAGACTAGATACCAAAAATCTGTGGGCTAGATTTCGGACTCCTACCATTTTCTTTTCTTTTTCTTTTTTTTAAATCCTCACTTGAGGATTTTTTCATTGCTTCTGGAGAGAGAGGACAGGACAGCAAGGAACATCGATGTAAGAAACACTGACCGGTCATCTCCTGTATGTGTCCTGACTGAGGTCTAACCCACAACCTAGATATGTGACCTTACTAAGGATTGAACCCACAACCTTTCAGTATATGGGACAATGCTCCAACCAACAGAACCACACTGGCCAAGGCTGGGGCCCCTTACTTTTTCTGGTGAGAGGTGGTGCGCCTGGTGCAAAAGACAGCAATGATCACGACCACCACGATGGTGATGACCCCAACGGAGACGATGATGACCAGCAGCATATTACTGTCCAGAGGAGAGGTGGGGCTTCCATGGGGGCTGTTACTACCTGAAGAGAGAAAAATGGCATGTTAGCTTAGAGAATTCTAGAAATGAACACAATCAGGATGAATCACCTTCATGTGAGCACAGATACTTCATGTGAGCTTCTTTCTAACTCTTACTACTGTGCCTTAGATAAAAGTGTGTCACGAACATGGCTATCTCCTCTAGATTATGAAATCCAGAAAGCTAAGTTTTTGCCCTAGGAACATTTCTCAGCACAGTGCCTTATACAAAGCTGGTGTTTAACTACACCTTTTGAAATTATACTGAATGTTGTACTTTGAAAATTTTGGGTCTTCCCCTCTGGTGTCTTATGTTGTATATAAATTTGTTTTATAAAGCACCACTTGTAAATCATTTAGGTTTCTGAGTTTCAAAACTATTTTAAAATTGTACATTCATAGAAAGCCAAAGCTTTTCCAAAAATATGTCTGAGATCACAAAAGGTCAACTGAAAAAAAAATTCTCTGTTTTTATAAATACAGTTTATGCAGAGTTAATTCTTTTACTTCATTTTAGGGAAATGTAGCTCTGTATAAATGTAGCTCTGTATATATGCATTAATTTGACAAACTTTTAATGAGTGGTTATTATGTTTTAGGCACTGTTCTAGGTACCAAGGATGAGGATGCAATAGTGAGCAACAAAATTGTGAATTTGGGGTGGAGGTAGGACCAAACAATAAATAACAAGTCATTAGTAGTGAATGCTATGAAAAAACTCAAATGAGGGGTATAATACAGTGATTGGGTGGCTATTTCATACTGAGTGATTATAAAAAGCTTGTTTGAGAAGATGGCATTTAAGCTGAGATTTGAATGAAAGGAGAGATCCCACCATACAAAGCCGAGGAGGAAGAACATTGCAGAGAGAAGGAACAGCTAGTAGAAGCATCCTAAGGCAGGAATGAGCTTGACATGGTCAAGGACGAGAAAGGTAGCCACTGTTGTTTAAGCAAAGAGAGACATACAAAGTTAGAGAGAAGGAAGTGAGCAGATAAAAAAGACAGAATGAGGCTGGAAGAGTATGCAGAAGCTATATAGAGCCTTTATGACATTAAGATTTTCTTCTTCTTCGTTACTATTATTTCCCCATTGCTTATAGGATGAGGTCCAAGCTTCTCATAGAGGTTTTCTGTAATCTAGCTCTACTCTAAGTTCTTTTCCATTTTTCGAAACACATTTTTGCTTTCAATCTCATTATAAAAGTTATGTATGCTCATATTGTAAAATATGGGAAATCCCACCATACAGATCAAACCACTATGGATATTTTATGTCTTTCCTTCTAGTTTCTCTCTCTCTTACCTTTCTAACAATTGGAGCTGTACAATGGTGGAATGAACTGCTTTACCAAGTAATGAGTGTTCAGACACTGGAAGTACTTAAAGAGTCATTCTGCGAGTCTGGGACGTGGTAGGATAAATTCCTACTATGAGGTATGGCCTGAGAAGCTATTTTTAGAAAAGCTCCCACAGTGATTTTCATATACACCCTGATTTATAAACTTATGATCTAATCCAAACTATACTTATTGTGGGAATCCCTCCCATAACATTGGATTAGCTGACCTTCCAGTTTTGATTCTATAATTTTATAGGGTACATTTAAGCACAGCGCAAAATCTGGGCTGATTTAGGAAAGCTTAAGAGTTTATTATTATACATTTGGTTCATTTTTATTCTTCATATCTGAGAAAAGGGTAAGCACATAGACAACTCAAATTCTGCACACTGACCTTTAATGAAATAACATTTAAAAAAACAAAAATAGACTTCTTGTCAAGATGGACGTGTAGGTAAACATGCTCTGCCTCCTTGCACAACCACAGAAAGAATTACAACTAGACCTCAAAATGAATAACATCCAGAATCGTCAGATAATCAAGCTGTATGGAAGTCTGACCACCAAGGATTTTAAGAAGCCACATTCACCCAGATGGGTGCCTGGTCTTCTACAACAGACCATGCTACCAAGACAGGGAGTCAAAGCAGCTCTACGTAATACACAGAAATGAACACAGGGAGGCTGCCAAATTGAGGAGACAAAGAAACATGGCTCAAATGAAAGAGTGGAACAAAATTCCAGAAAAAGAACTAAATGGAATGGAGATAACCACTTATCTCAAAACACTGGTGATCAGGATGCTCAGATAACTCATTGAGTACAACAAAAAAATAAAAAAGACCCAAGAAGAAATGAAGGTTACACTAAGTGAAATAAAGAAAAATCTATAGGGAACCAACAGTGGAAGGGATGAAGCTGGGATTCAAATCAACAACTTGGAACATAAGGAAGAAATAAGCATTCAATCAGAATAGCAAGAAGAAAAAAAGAATTAAAAACAAAACAAAAACTCAGAGAGTAAAAGATGTGTCTCTGGGACATCTTTTTTTGGACTTTATGCTTTTACTCCCAACTCATCTTCACTGTCTCCTAATAGTAGATAACTCAATAAATGGAAGTCTTAGTTTACCACTATCAGACATCTTATATACATTACTGATAGGATGAAGCTCACATTTCTTAGCACTCCTATCTGAGCTTTTGAGAGGCTGGTTCTAAGCAACCTTCTCTAACTTCAGAATCTTTATTCTGCCTCTAGGCAGTGTGATCCCTTGGAAAGCAGGTTGTTTTATATTGCCATGCCTTTGACACACACTGTTTTTGCTTCCTGGATGGACAAAACCCTCTGTGACATTTAGCAATCTCCCAGGCACCCTTAAAAATCTGGGTCATCCCTGGACAGGTGGCTAAGTTGGTTGGAGCACTGTCCTATACATCAAAAGGTTGTGAGTTCGATCTCCAGTCGGGGCATGTATGAGAGGCAACCAATCAGTGTTTCTCTTTCACATTGATGGTTCTCCCCCCGCCCACAACTTCCTGTCTCTCTAAAATCACTAAACATATCCTTGGGTGAAGATTAAAAAAAAAAACAACCCATGTATCATATCTTCCACAGAGCTTTCCCTTTTCTCTATTAGGTAGCTGGTTACTCAGTCCTCTTGCTTCTGTAGCCTGCTATATAAAACCTGAACCTTAAAAAATTGTGTGAATGAATGAATGCATTAATAAAAGACAAAGACAAAGAAATAATTACTTTTTCACAACCTTGAATATTATGTTGTGGACAGCACATAAATGTAACATATGTAGCCCAGAGAAGAAACTCATAAAGCCCTAGAACTCAGACACTAAACATTTCTTACAGCATGGAAGTTTGTCTTACTGTCCTAAGAAAAGGCTGATTTCACTGATGTCTAGGCAGTATCACTTTTTACTTAACTAGATAGCTAGAAATTGAACAATCATTTTATTTCCACAGTTAGAGCAGGATACACAGATTGTCTCCCATGTATCACTGGCAGGGGTAGAGACAGCAAGGGTTATATCAAGTAGCTACTTGTATAGATTTTCACCAACACCAGATTCTTACTCTGGTATAGAATCTGTGCCTTTTAGGCTGCATGTGATAGTGGGGAAGGCACAATGAGATGTCAGAAGACCTGGGTTTTGGTAGGACTTTCATAATTAGTGGGTAGACCCAGGCATGTTACTTCTCCACTGAGTCTCTTAAAGTTTAAAATGGGAATGAGGAGATCCATGATGGCTGCAGAGTAGGTAGAAGCTACACTAACCTCCTCCCAGGACCAAACAGGTATTACATCTCAATTATAAAAAAACCATTCTGAATAACCAACTGAACACTATCTGGAGAGAAGCCTTGTAACCAAGGACACCACAATAAGACTGGTATGGAGTGTGGAGATGTAAGAGGGTTGGCTGGGCTCCCAAAGGTGGCAGCTGAAGTTCTGGAGGGTTATTTCAGCAGCTGGAGGGGCCCCCTGAGAAGTGTAGGGTCTAACTCTCAAAATGGGCTCCACAGCCTATAGCGCCAGAGCCGGAAAGGAACCCAAATAACATCTGGCTGTGCAAAGCAGCAGAGTTACTGTCTGCCAGGGAGAGACAGCTGGAGACGCAAAAAGCCACTTAAAGGGCCAACATACAAAATTTTGTTTGTAGCCAATTACCCTGGACTCCAGCAGAGGGAGGGCAGAGTGGACCAGAGATGCTTGAGGAGAGCCTGGGGCAGGTAACTCTGAGGAGAGAGCTGAAGGGCCAACCACTAGGATCCCTGTGCTGAGCCATTCCCCATACTGCAAGAGCCATCTTTCTCAGGCAGAGCAGTCCCATCCAAGTAGCAACACCCTGGCAGGAAGCAATAGCCCCAATCTGTGGAGCTTAAGCCCGGCTCAAGAGCACAGCTGGAGGCTATTTCAGTGATTAAGCCTAACAGAAAACCTGCAGATGAAGCTGGATCTCTGGAAGCTGTGAGATATTCACTGAGACCTCCCCAAGGCCTGGTGCTGGTCAAAAGCTGGCCTTGGTGAGCAGCTTGGTCCTTTCCACATGTACCCAGGCCCAGCAGTACGAGCCACAAGCCGTGGATCACTTATAGCTCCAACAGTTTGCCCAGGATCAGTCACAGGCAGACACAGGCCTACACCAGAGTCTTTGCAGATGTACCAAATACATAAAAATAAACACAAAGAGGCAGCTAAAATGGGAAGACAAAAAAGGGCCCCAAATGAAAGTACAAAAGAGTTCTCCAGAAGAAGAACTAAATGAAATGGAGGCAAGCAATTTATCAGATATAGAGTTTAGTGTAATGATTATAAGGATGCTCAAGAGCACAAAAAAACCATAAAAAAGGGTCAGAAATAAAGAATGCCATACTTGAAATAAAAAATACAATGGAAGGAATAAACAGTAGATTAGATGAAGCAGAGGATCAAATCAAATATTTGAAAGACAAGGTGGGGAAAAAACACCCAGGCAGACCAGCAAAAGTAAAAAAGATTTAAAAAATTAGGAGAGTTTAAGAAATCTTTGGGACATTTGGATCATGGGAATACCAGAAGGAGAAGAGAGTGAGCAAGGCAATGAGAAACTATTTGAAGAAATAATGACTGAAAACTTCCCTAACCTGGTGAAGAAAAAAAGACACACAAGACCAAGGAAGTGCAGAGAGTCCCACACAAGTTGGACCAAAAGAGGCCCACAACAAGATACATTGTAATTAAAATGGTAAAGCTTAAAGACAAGGAATCTTGAAAGCTGCAAAGAAAAGCAGTTAGTTACCTACAAGGGAGCTCCCACTAGACTGTCAACTGATTTCTCAACAGAAACATTTTAGGCCAGAATGGGCTGGAATGAAATATGGAAGGTGATGAAAAGCCAAGGACCTACAACCAAGACTACTTTACCCAGAAAGGTTTTCATTTAAAATCGAAGAAAATTTTACTCTTTCTGACGGCATGGATGGACCTGGAGGACATTATGTTAAGTGAAAAAAGCCAGTCAGAGAAAGACAAATACCACATGATTTCATATGTGAAATCTAATGAACAAACTGAGCTGGCAAGCATAACAGAGACAGACTCATGGAGAGAGAGTAGGCTGATACCTCTGGGGTGTTTAGGGGGTGGACGGGGCAAGGAAAAAAAAAGAAAAAGTACTCACGGTCATGGACAACAGTGTGATCATTATAGGGGGAGGTGGGTATAAGGGCGATAGATGGTAATGAAAAAAATATAGTAAAAATAAATTAAAAAAAATGGGAGTATCTTCCCCATGTTTCACAGTGATTTCATGTCTGAGAGTAACTTACAAATGGTGAAGTTCAGTAGAAGAACAGGTGCCATCATTTATGTAACAGAAGGCACCAACTCTTAAGATGGCTATGAGAATGGGGAAAATTTTTTAGAATTCCCAAACTGAAAACACTATGGTAAGTAGTTTAGGGAGAAATGAATGATTCTTGGCTTGGGTGACGGCTAATTCCACTAGATGGTTTATTTTTGAAAGCAATCTTCTAATTATTTTCTAGAGGCAGCAGGGAAGAAAAAAAGAGACTTGTTTAGAATTAGTCTTATTTTAAGTTGGATATGTGCAGAAACAATTGTATTCATAGATCCTATAATAAATGGTTTTGCAGTAACTCAGTACATATTTGCCAGATAGATGCCTAAAGCTAATTCTATTAAATAAAAAGAAGTAGGTAACATTCTACAATCACCACACACAAGCTACAAAGGACATTTCAAGATGGCAAGCAGAACTGCGTCATGTCTATAGTAGGTCAACAGAGCCACAGAAGGGGCTTTACCGCTCATTGGAGGTTTGTAGTCAGGTCCTAGGTCTGGCAGCCGGCTTCCTTTTCCTGCAGACCCTGAGGCTGAGGGAGAAAAAAAAAAATCACATCAGTAGCAGCTCAACCCACAGGTAGGACAAGCCCACTTCACAGCTAATGAATGTTTTCTACAAAAAAATATTTTCAGTCTACTATGTTCATGAGAAAATGAAGTAGCACATCAACAACAGGGGAAATTATAACCTATCTGTGCAAAGCAAGCTAAGGTATAGCTTTCTATGCAATGAGGCATCTGAAAGGCTGACACGCTTTCCATGGCTGTATCCAGTGTGTAACTCAACTGCCACTCGTTGCTCACAGGTGGAAACACAAGCCACTTCTCTAGCCCAGGAAAGCATTTCTGGAAGACGGTTCAGAACACTTATGCAAAGTAGCTTCCCTTGGAAAAGGAACCATGCAGACTGGTTTGGCTGTCTTCTGCAGTAAAGAACCGGACTCTTCCAAGGGCCACAGGTATGCTGATCTGGTCTGGCAGGGACTGGATTCCTTTCTCAAATTATTAAGTTGCCTTTCCCTAAGCAGGAGCAAGAAGGCAAATGGAAGTTCAAATTGGGGTCATAGTTCCTGCACAGTCACCTAAATATCCAAAGATGGAAAAACAAAGTCTTCCCTCCAGTTGCTCACAAAGGACACTGTCTCCTAACCCATCATCAAGGAATATACGTGAGGCTGCTGACCTTAGGCTTGGGGATACCTCACAAGGAGGCCTCAGAAAACACAAAGTATCTGTGTTTTAGAAAGTCCTATTCTTGGTCTTGAATTTTGTTCTTCACATTTATATTTATAGAAAAAGCTGCTTGGGTAAAGCAAATACAAGGAGTCCTTTCCCAATAAAGCAAACATATCCCTCTATCCAAAGTGTGGGGCCAGAAAGCAGCATAAGACCTCTTTGAAGAAGTCTGAAAGAATTGCAAAGTAAAAGCTGCTGCTCACAGCACAGTGCTTAACAGACTCAGCCCTTGAACAGTGGCTCCATCACGTGTTAATAGGTAAACAAGAAAAGTCAAGTTATTTAATTACTGCATACTTTTTGGATCTCTATTTACTCATTATAAAACAGTAATGGTAATGGCATGTACTTCATGAAACAGTTGTGAGGACTAGATGGAAACTTAATCCTATGAAGACTCTGAGTGCTACCTGACACACAGTAAGTGTTCTATAAGCACTAACCATGGTTGTTACAGGCATAATAAACCTTTCTGTTCTCAGAGGCAGAGGGCATGAAGCTTCAGAAAACACTTGTGAGTCATTTCTATAAATTAAGCGTGGCTGGAAATTAATAAACTAGATTCATTTCTGTAAAACATTAGAGCTAATGTCAAGTACTTCTATGAATTATCAAACTTTGAGGAATGTAAAAATTGAAATCTGAAGGTTTCTGTATCTAGTTCATTTAACAGAATAAATCTAGAGATGAAAATGATGTTTTCCATGTTTCTAGAAATTAAAAACCCTGAAAGGTAACAAAAGTTCTTGGGTATCCAAAAGGGCATATTCTAGAAGGTAGCCCACTCTCCTTTTCAATTGCCCATACTTATCACTCTACCGCTTAGGTCTGCTGCTGTCATTCCTCCCCAGTGGTACCACACAGATCAATATTCCAGCTTTTCTCTTCACTATGATGAAGTCGAGTTGCTGGGATGACCTAGCACTTGTAAGGTTCTTCATGTTTAACTGTACTTATCTGTCAGGTAGCCCGTATTTAAGCCAATCTCTCCAGAGTATCATATTATGCAAATTATTGCCAAAGAACACACTTTGACAATAAACTGGTTGGTTTAACTCCTATATTTCCCAACATTTTTTTTCTTTTAAAGTTAACTTATAAACAAGGGATTCCGAGGATTAACCAAAAACCAAATATAAATACAGACAAAGAATTTTGAATACCAGAAGTGTGGTGAAGCTCAGATTTGCACTCTGGCTCCTAGAGTGGAGCAGAGAAAGAACAGTGAGCATGTTACACTCTGTGCATATGCAGGGTGGTATTTTTCTTTTTTTTGCACTTAAGTCAAAGTTGCTACCATGATTAAGGTTCCTCTCTGCACCCCCCATATATGAAAGCAAGTTTGCAGTTTCTTCAAAGTACTGTACAACCAACAACTCATTGCAAACACATTTCCAAAGCCCTGAAACTTGAAACCTCAAGTTCTGTCTCTTCTAGCCATTAACCAAGATCCAAAGATTTTGTATTTCTAATAACTATTCTTCAACTACAAAAGCAATCATCCAATTTACTTTTATTGTTATTTCTTAGCATAGAAAACAGACACCAACTTTAGCTGAAATGCCAGAAATGAAAATCACAAAGCATAGTTACCCTCTACTACAGCAATTACAGTGAAAAGATCTTGCTGACATGCAATTTCAAGAATGGTAACATTGAGGCCCATGCTTCCTAGGTATCCATTTAATTTTTTTTCTATTCTTTTTTAAAGTGAGCAGGTATATTTAAGTGGAAAAATGGAAAAGGAACTCTGAATTAAGTTATGGTAAAAGAATACATGGCACTAATTTTGTCACGAATCATAGTTTAGTAGGGTAAATTTGTACATGCTTTGTGGGAGGAGGCATAGAAGGTTTTTGTTGAATTTGATTACAACTTTTTACTTAGAGATACTAATAAAATCCTAGATGTTACAAATTTGTATGCTTGCTCTTATTATGTCCAAAATTGTTACAGAATTTCAATATCTTAGTGCTAATGGGACTTACTTGTAAGGCCAGTCTCTAACAGCCGCAGAATCAGTTTATTCTGCTCAGTTTGTTTTTTTTTTCCCTGCCAGTCTATTTAGCTCCCAGCTTTTCAGATACCCCAGTGCCACAAACATGGACTCAACTCCACTTTGGCCAATAAATAACATGGTTTTTTAACACAAGGTACTTATTTACAAGAAAAAAAGAAACAAAAACAACAAAAAGCTAATAATAGGTCACAAAAGAGAGGAAAGGAAAGAGAGGCCACCTACTCATTTACCTTGATCATTAGGCATTTTATCAGAGGAGTCCGCTAACAGGCCAAGCACAGGGGAAGAAAAAACAAGAGCAAGGGTCACAAGTTTTGAAGATGGGACAGGCATAATTTTTAAAGGAAAAAAAAAAAAAAATAAAACCCCACAAACTTCCAAACAGATTGAGGTGTTTTGTTTTTGTTTTTTTTTGTTTTTTGTTTTAAGAGAAACCCACATATGGTTTCTGTATTTCCAGAGACTCAGTCCCCGACTAAATTTTATTCCTAAGCTCACTTGGTTCAATACTTTATCTTCACTTTCTTACCTAGAGTTTCTTTAAAGGGCCCCTTTTAGTCTTTTTCTCTATTAAGGTCTAAAATAAGCCTTTAAAGTTAGGAGCCTGCATGTGTTGAAAAAGAATCATTTATCACAATAATACACTATTACTTTTTACAGGAAAAGAGAATCACACCTGATCTGACTGTAAATAGCTTCACATCACTGCCTCAAACAGACTGGAGTCAGAGTTCCCTTCTATATGATCTGGTCAGGCTAGTGGCCTAGGGAGCACTGATCTGGTGGTCAATGGTGAGTGAGGGATCATTTTGAGATAAATGCACACACTGTGGCTCATCATAAGGACTTCCTATATCATCCATGGTCTCTACATGCTAAAGTGATCCGTGCAAGCACAGCCCCACTGAGGACACATTATAAACCACTCTGTGGGGAGCCTTACCTTTAGGTGTTCTGAACTGGACAGCTTCAGACATGGGCCCCATGCCCTTTGAGTTCCGAGCCTGGATTTTGAAGTAGTATGGTGTGTCCAGTGTTAGCTCTTGTATCTGGTGGGTCAGCCTGTTGCCCACAACGGGCTCAATAACCCAATCGTGTATCTCTGCATTCACATCTGTGCTGTAATATATGATGTAACCTGTCCAAAGAAGTTAATGGAAAAAGAAATCTTACTACTGTTGCTTCTTTTGAAATCAGTAAGTTATACGTTACAGCACAAACGAGTAGAGAAACAGTTACTGATTAAACAGAAATGGTAAAATGCATTCAAAGTGCTACTCTAAATACAATATAGAGAAAACCACAATTTACACAGTGCCAAGCTATGGGTTATCATCTATATCAGCAGTTGAAGTAATAAAAGAATAAAAGACAGAAAATATAGGGTTAAGTACCCTCGGAATCTAAGAAATCATATAAGGAAAATAACCCAATCACTTCAACATGTCAATAAATAATGTATCTTCAATGGTCTACAATTAAAATAATGCAGTTCTGAAAACCAATAAATGGCCTAACATGCTGTTTTAGCTCTCACCAATGTGATTTCCCAGAGAAAAGCTCCTGGTAGAACTTTCCTAAGTTCTCCCAGGTTTGGGGAACAAGTCACAGTGAAACGTCAGCTGGTAACTTCCACCAGAGGGCACTCAATCTCCATGGCTGAGGCAGAAAGGCCCACAACCACAAACCTACCTGACCCATACAGTGCATTATTACTGGGTTTTAAAAATAAAGTAAAATGCAATGCAGGTCAAGTCATGCTTGATTCTTTTATGAAAGAAGCAAATTCAAAACCCGAAAAAGTCACAAAAGACCAGGAATTTATGGAAAGGAGTTTCTATCAAAAGCTGAAGCAGAACAATGCAGGAAAAAAAGCTTTCAGCTTTCTTAGGCCACACTATTAATACCAAGGAATTTCAGAAGACAAACTTCTGTTCCTCAGCATATATGTACATGGAACAGAGGCTCCAGGGGGAAATAATTAATAGCTAAATCCCTTTTCTCCTTGATAAGGCTGAGGAAGGCGCTGGGTTTACTGGGGAAGGTTCGCCTTTGGAAGTCTAAGGAAACATTCCAGGTACTCTCAAAGGCCTAGGCCAATTCAAACCTTTAAGCGTTAGTTGTAAGAGCACTGGAAGCTGAAGTAGCAGGCCTGGAGGGGAAAAAGGAATTAAACGTTTAATGGGCTTTTTTTTGACTTCAGGGTAAAAGAGCAGAATCTGTTTATTGGGAATTACCCTATAGAGTGAGGTAAAGTCTTTAATTCTAGAGCAGGTCATCTAGTCCAAGGCAGAGAAGGCAGCTTTTCTGAGGAAAATAAACTATGTCCATACAGTGTCACTACAACCAAAGGCTGTTTGTCTACTGCAACCCTTGAACAATTTAAATGGGGATTCATTTTTTTTTTATGTATAATATTTTAAATTCTTTTATTTTGTTAATGTTATTTTATTTTTTCAAATACATTTGTCTCTGCCTAACCCCCACCACTTTCCCTTGCCCGCTCCCTCCTTCCCTCCCTCAGCTTTTCCCCTTTGGTTTTGTCCATGAGTCCTTGCTATATGTTCCTTGACTTTCCTAAATGGGGATTCATTTTTATGTTACTGTGGGCAAATAGCAGCACCTCCTTGCTCCACTTCTGAGGACACCATGACTCACAGCACCTCCTACAACGACCAAGCCGGCCTCCAGACCCACTTCTCCCAACAACACAGAACTCTCCAGAGTGCTTCTGCCAGGCAGGAAAAGGGAGCAGATACACATTCAAAGTCACCTTACCTGTAATTTTGCCATTGGCTTCAGAGGGAGGCTGCCAATTTACAATTATGGTCCTAGGTTTTCCCTCTTTGCTCACAACAGTCACATCCTTGGGTGGAGAAGTAGGAACTACAAAATAAGGATACTTTCAATAATTCCTGTCCATTTCAATTTTATTCATCACTTCCTCAACACTTTCCATTTATAAGGCACAATCAAGGGTATTAGGCAAAAAAGATAAGGCCCCCTGACTTCAAAAAACTCACAGTCCATCTATAAATAGCTCCAATTAAAAAAATGAGTACACAAAATACCAAAGAGAGGACACCACACTATGGAATTACAGTACTGGCATCTCAAATGGGGGTCAGGAATATATATGGTAAGTACATAGGGAAATCAAAAGACAAGTACCTACTATATGCCAGGCATTTTATTTTTTTTTAATCCTCTCCTGATACATTTATTAATGAGAGAGAGAGAGAAAGAGAGAGAGAGAGAGAGAGAGAGAGAGAGATTGATCGATCAGTGCCCACCTCCTACGAGCTCCAACTGGGGATAGAACCCACAACCTAGGTATGTGCTCTGACCGGGATCAAACCCACAACATTTTGGTGTGCAGGATGATGCTCCAACTGAGCGACCTGGCCTGTGTGCCCAGCATTTTACAAATAATGTTTCACTTAGTATTTATGGCAACCTGAAAGGTAGTTTTACCACTGTCCCTGCTTGACAGATCAGGATGCTGAAATGAGAAAAATTATGTGATTTTCCCAAGATAACATTGTCCTCCTAATTTGGATTATTTTGTTAGGATGTTCTTAAATGTAAAATAATTTTCTCTCTCACCTATATTTGGCTCTCCAAATGTTTGAAAACCCCAAATTCCTTCAAAGAACTCATGATTTATAATTTGATGTTTTCAAGTTTGCAAAGCCAACCATTTGAGCTTATTGCTCTGAAATGTAAAGCTGTTTGTGTAACTGACAAACCAGTAAAATAAAAATGACTACATTTCTTGTTTCCATGTTATGGCTGAAAACTTTTAAGGTACTAGTAAGGAAATGAGAGAATCCTCCTAGTGTAAAATGGAAGAAAGCCTGGTGAAATGTACACATCCTAAGGAAATATATAATGTAATTTATTAGCTAATGGGTTGGAATTAAAGCAGAAAGATACTCTTAAAACTGGCAAAGAACGCCAACTCAAGGTCTGTGTAAGCTTTTGTGTGCTGTATTTCTGGCTCTCCAAATCCAAACCCTTTTCTCTGTAGGAAGTTTAACCCACTGTTCAGAAGACAAAAAGACATTAGGGCCAAGCCCTCTGAGGAGATACTATACCCCGATTTTTCATCATTTATCCACAAGAGAGAAAAACACAGGGGACTGGAATAGACAGAGACTACCGATGATTACACACGTCCCCATGCTCGGAAAGTACAAGGGGTAAAAGGGTAGGCCTACAAGTGAGCAAAAAAGCAAACAGAATCTCAAACCTGGATGGCCTGCTTTCCCCTCAATTTGCTTAGTCTCTTCTCTTTCATGTTTCCTTACGGACAAAACCCTAAGGACACTCCAATGGGCATTATTACAGGACACTAACTGGTTTGCAAGAGAGCTGCTGCTGAAGTGCTGAGGTCCCAGCAAGCATGGTGCTGCAGCTGCCTGGTAAGGGGCAGGCCACTCCATCTTTTGTTTCTCAGTCACCAGGAAAGCAGGGTGAATGACAACAATCCCTCATGTCTTCACAGTGTTTGATAACTGAGCATGTACCTTCCCATCTCCTCCTCATTTTACCCTTACAATAACCCTACAAAGTAGGAAAGGCAGAGGCTATTACCCCTCAGGAAGAAACAGATTCAGAGAGGCTGAGCTGACCTGCTTATGATCACAGTCAGTGGATGGCTGACCTGGGACTGAATTCATGTCTCCTAATTCCTAAAATCTAGTATACTTTGTATTATATTATCCTGTTATTTGCTAATGTTCTTGTACGACAATGAAAAAAACATAACTCAGCTGAAAAAACAAATACTGAATTCCAGCTGTAGTTGCTCATTGTGTTTGGTAAATATGTTAACTAATGTATTCAATTCTTTCCTTCGTTAGTAAAAGCAGGTGACGGTAAGTCTCATGATTTGGAATGTGGTACAACATCAGCAAGAACTTACACTGACTTTCATACATGCAGAGAAGAAATGCCATATGGCCTATGGTTCCAACAACACATACCTAATTCAAAGGTGGTCCCATGGGCTGTCATACTCCACGTGCTTGATCTTCGACCTTTGGTCACCATCACAGAGAATTCATAGAGTGTATTTGCTTTTAAACCAGTCACCAAATAACTCAATGTGGTTGCATTTGCATTCTGGAAACATATCATTCAAGAACTTTAGATTTAGAAAATACCAACAGTTAGCTTTTCTCACCCAGAACACATGTGCTAGTACCTTGTACTTGGTGTTTGCTGGGATGTTGGTTTTCCAGCGGACTGTGTAGTACCGAGAGTCTGTAACCTTCTGGTGTTTGGGCAACGAGTTGTCTGCCCATGTAATCCTGATGGTGTCGTGACTCAGAATGGAAGCCTGGACTCCCACTGGTGGCATCATGGGAGTGGGATCTGGCACTGGAGTGTATGGAGCATTAATAACAAATAAATCAACTTCAGAAGTGTCTGGGTAAAAAGTAATTAAAAAGGGAAGTGGCATTTTAACATAAACAAAAATAAAATAAAAGGGAAATGCAGGGTAATAAGATGGAATGAAAGGTGAGAAATGAAGAAAGAGAAAGAAAATCCAGAGTTAATAGGTAACCACCATTCATTTAAAAGGATATTTCCACTTGTGTTCTTTTAGGAAAACATCTAGAGAAACACTAATTAACTATATATTCTCTACTGTATTCTGTAGGTGTATTAAAATTTGGTAATCCAGTGATTATATTAACATATTCATACTTGGATTTTCTTTAAATTACTTGAAAATTCTACTTCCTGTCCAAAAAGGATCATGAAAAGATAAAAATTGCTTTTAAAATTAAAAGGCAGAATTTTTGAGCTAGCAACAAAAAGCTCATGATCTGTTTTGATATTTCAGTGGCTGAGGCTGAGTTTTTGGGACACGGCTTATAAGTGCTTATCACAGGACATGAAAGGGTCCCACTCTCAAACCTGAGTCCTGAATGTTGGCCAACGGCAGCTGAGCCTGGCCTTCATATTTGGGTTGTGTGATACCCACACACGGTTCATTTGAGGTTTGCTGATGTCCTGCTACACTTTCTCCAGTCAAGTCAGAGACCAATCCACTGATGAATTCCAGTAAGTCATGAGAAATGCCATAGTTATAGGTCTAAGTGACTTAGTCTTTATGAACTTTAGAAATCGAAGTACTTATCTGATAGAAAGGAAAGTCTATCCTCAAGTGCTGGCCTGTGCCATACACAACAGACACATTCTCATCAAAACAGAGGCCAGAATAAGTACAAGGCACCAAGGACTGTCAGCCCACAGCAATACAGCAGGATCCATTTGGGCTTTTCCAACAGGTTTTGTAAATATACACAAACTGATTTATTTTTAGTTAAGGTTTTAAAAGGGCTTAAGGTTTTAACAAGGTTTCCCACATAGTTATCCTGATTAGCCCTTCCTGTAAGTCAAAATCTGAAAAGACATGGGCCTTTATGGATAATTGCCACGCTAAAGCAACAGTCTTTCATTTGCGTATTTTCTACACAACAAGGACTAAAAATAACAGAGGAACAGCATGCATTATAATCAAGGGCCTTGTTCAAAGATCAGGACGCATACCATTTAGTTACAGAAAATGTACCTTTTCAGAAGCAAAAATCATTAGGCTTCTTTGAGGAAGTTTTTTATTTGTAACAACTCTTGAAAAAAGTAGCTAGATTACATGAGTTAGGAACATTTCCTTCAGTATTTCTAGCCAGAAGACTACAGAGTCCAGCAGAAGTAATGCCTGCTTGAGTGTTGTTGGAAGGATAAAAATATCAGTGTAATAATTTATAGTTTTAATTTGAACATTTCACCTAAAATGTCATATGTTAGACTTGAGTATGACATTGTTATGTTACATAAGAATTTCATGCTTAAGATTTTGTAATTAAAAAGGAGCACTATTTGTGCCAGACCCTGTATATTTTAAGTTGCATTAAAAAAAAATTCAAGTGTTTTTTTCTATTGTAGATTGAGTTTAAAAAGTAGCGAGCTATTTATTTAATATTCTCTTTTGATCTTGCTTTGTTCCCTTTATGGAATGTTAAAGCTATTTTTAAAAGAAGTTACTCCAAATTGTGAGCAGAAGACAGGAGAGAAACACCAGACGTGGGGTCATGATGTTGGTCTCGTTAAGTAAAAGCAAAAGAAGAGGCGGGTGCAGAGATTATCTTTTTAAAAAGAATAATGCTAATGGCTAATGTGTAATATACAAAAGTATCCAGAAGACATAGCAGGCAATACAGATTCACAATTCTGCAAAACAACTGGAAAAGAGCATTTCTGAAAGTGACAAATTCTTATTTTTCAGTACCCATTAGATAAAATGTCTAACTCTAATATGTTACTCTGATAAACTTCCTCATTCAGATCTAAATTAGATACTTTATATGTCTATAGAAATTTACATTATATGTATAATCCTTTAAAGATATTTTAAATAAATTATAAAGAAAAAATTGAATATTTGGTCTCTTTTGTAATAAATATACAGTTGATCAAATGGATAGTATATCTGACTTCATATAAGGCTTATGAAAAGTACATACAAAAATATTTTCCTGACCAGCTCAGGTAACTAGTAAAGAAAATGCTAGATTCATCAATCGTCTACATTTATTGCTACAATCAGTAACCTATACAATTCTTCCACCGACATGGAGATCTTTTCATTTTTTGACTCATTTTAGTTATAACTCATGTGACGAACAGACAAAAAATCACTTTTAATTCTCTCACAACTATGGTTTTTAGTTCCCAGTGCATTAAAAACATGTGTTACATATCTACCTAGAAATGTTTACATTATAGGATTGTTAATATTTTCTAAAAAGCAAAACAAGAATTAACATTCCATGTTAAAATCCCATATTCCTATTGGAAGACTGCACCGTAAACTGCCATATACTTTTCCTTCCACTGATATCTAGGGGGTGGGCCTCATGCCAACATTCTACTAAAGCTGATGGAAAAAAACTGAAGACCAGAGGAGGACAGCAGACCTTCCTTACCGGTGTGAGGTCTGGTTACAGCACTCTCATACAGGGGGATGCCTTCACCCACGTTGTTAAATGCTTTCAAGGTAATCACATAGTGAGAGCTGGGATCTGAAGAAAAGAAACAAGTCAAAGCACTTAGAAAAATTCTCACTGAAGAATTTTAAAAACTCAAGAGTGACTGTGCATGATCTCAACTGCAGAGGCAATAAGGAGCGAAGACTTCGAATGTCTGAAAGCAAGGATAAATACCACACCCTATACACTATGGTTTTTCCTACGCGTGCATACCTATGATAAAGTTTAATTTCTAATTTAGGAACAGTAACAGATTAACAATAACTAATAACAATATACTGTAAATGTGGTCTCTGTCTCTGATAGCCAATCTGATGACTGACACGGTTAACAGGCAGGTAGCCTATTCAGCATGGATATGATGGACAGAGGGATGATTCGTGTCCCGGGAGGGAGAGACAGAGTGGGAGAGCTTGAGATTTCACCACACTAGTCAAAACGGTGTGTATTTTAAAACATTATAAATTGTTTACTTCTGGAATACTCCATTTAATATTTTCAGGTCTTGGCTGTCCGTGGGTAACCCAAACCGCAGAAGCTGAAACAGTGGATAAGGGGAAACGGCCGTGCAGAAAAACTGTGGGATAAACTTCCTGGAGTTAGTACCAGGAGAGAGGTTGGCTGTGCCTGAATTCTCTCTTGGCCTCAGCTAATGGACCGTCTACTGATGTTATTTTATAATCCAAGTGAGGCTTGGATTAGAATGAGTAAATAGGATATTCACGTGTTGTAAGCCCATAGATGGGGTTTAAAATTAAACCCCTTTCCTTCTCAGGAGGAGGAGGACAGTGACTGGAACAGCCAAGGTAGAGAAACAGGAGGAGAGCTGTTAATTTAGTAATTGTTAAATGTCCTTAACTCTCTGGAGGGTAGGGGTGGGGGGAGGGGGGACTCCAAATCCAGGAACCGTCAAAACTCATCTAGCCCTCATGTAGACTTCTTAGTTGGACACAATATGGTCCAGAATTACAACTGGCTTGGAGGTGATGCTGCAGGAAATATAAGACTGAAAGTGACACTCCCTCTAGGTGACCATATAAAATGCTGCTAGTTAGACCCGATGAAAACAGGTGTTATTAAATAAACAGTTCTCTTTTTCTTGCTTTGTAAATCAACTTTGAGGAATAAATGGCATAGAGCAAAATGTACCCATTTAAGTTTATATACAGTTTTGTTGAGTTTTGACAAATATGTGTATCTGTGTAATCACTACCACAATCAATACAAATACTGACAATACTCCAGATAGTTCCCTTGGGACCCTTGTAGTCTATTCCCACCACCTCTGTTTCTAGGTAACCACTGATCTTTGTCACTATAGATTAGTGCTGCCCATTCTGTAATTTCATAAAAAGGTAGTAACATGTAAAACAGAAAAATAAGAATCTTCTCCCATGCTTATTGTCCTGTTATTTATATTCTTCGGTATACTGTCCGTCCACATCTTTTGCTTACTTTTTTACTGGACTGTCATCTTCTTATTGAGTACTGAAAGTTTTTTTTAAATAAATTCTGGACTCAAATTCTTCATCAGATATTTGAATGGTAAGCATTTTCTCCTAGTCTGTGGCTCACCTTTTCATTTTATTGGTGTCTTTTCTGAAGTAAAGTGTTAAATTTTGCTAAAGTCAAATTTATTCTTTTAATTCCATAACTTGTGCTTCTTTGCATCCTCAGATATCCTTGCTTACCCCAAGGTCGTCAAGACTTTGTCCTGTTTTCTTATAGAAATTGTGTAATTTTTGCTCTTGCATTTAGATCTGCTTTAGTGTATGGTATAAAATAAGGGTCAAAGAAGGTTCCTTTTCTTCCTCATACAGTTATCTAATTATTGCCCTGTCTTTTGTTGAAAAGACTATCTTCTCCCCAATAAATTATCTCAGTATTTTTGTAAAAGAACAATTGGATCTATTTCTGGGCTCTATTCTGCTCCAATAATCACCTACTTTACACCAATACTACCACAATGTCTCAATTACTGTAGCTTCATAATAAGTCCTGGAGTATGGGTTTTCTAAACTTTATCCTTTGTTTCAAAAATGTTTGGCTATTCTAGTTCCTCTGATCTTTCATTTAAACGAGTTTACAAATTTCTATAAAAAAGTCTACTGGGACTTGACATAGGATTGCATTGGGGAGAATGCAACTTTAATTCCAATTTCTAACTGCTTATTGTTTAGATGCAAATACAACTATTCTGTATATCAACTTTGTATCTTGTGACCTTGCTAAACTAACTTATAGTTTCAGTAGTCTTTCTTGCAGATTCCTTAGGATTTTCTACAGTAACAGTGAGTCTGTAGAGTGCTCAAATATTGGTTTCTAAATACCATTTTCCATAAAAGAAACCAGGGTTCCTTGGAGAAATGGCTGATTCAATGGGTAAGGGTAGGAAACACCAGAACCTGAAACATCTTACCAAGTCAAAAGGAAGAAGGTGCTTAATGAAAGATGGGAGGTGTCAAATGGACAGAGAGGAACCAGTTATAAAGAGATTCCCATCGGCCACTGGCCATTTTTTCACTATGAAAGAGAAGGAAAGCTATTCATTATTAAAGAATGCTAATAAATGTAAAAGAAATAATGGAATTAGAAAATCACCATTTGTGAAACACCAGAGTAACTGCTGTTACTAAAGACGCAAAAACTAGTAAGTAAAAGTTTGATGAGAAATAACATATTTACAAAGACGGTGTCTATCTGCCTGAAAGGTACTTATTAATTATGAAAAAAAATAACTTTATACTCGAGAAATGTGGCCGACACCATTTTAACCAAGAGATTAAAGTTAACATCACTTGTGACAGGCTCTCCTGTACTGCCTAATACAGTGTGCTGACAAGAACACAATGCATCTATGATGTTCCTTCTAGAAGAGAACAAGCTGAATGTAATGAGGAGATATTAGACAAGTCTGAATTGAGGGACAGTCTACAAAATATAAATGGTCAATACTTTTCAAAAAGGTCATAGTCATTAAAGTAAAAAAAAACAAACAAACCCAAACAAAAGAACCCCGAAGAACTGTTCCATCTCAAAGAAAACTAATGAGATGACAAAATGCAACATGTGATCATGGGCAATGTTTTTCTTTTATCATAAAGGACATTAATGAGACAACTGGTAAAATATGAATAAAGTCTGCAGATATTGTCTTAGTGTTAATTTGCTAATTTTGATAATTGTAGTGTGGTTATGAGAGAAAATGTCCTGGTTTTTAGGAAATGCATATTAAAGGTATTAGTGAGGAGAGAGGCACTTTCAAATGGTTCAGAGGAAAAACAAGGACAATATAGGAAGACAGCAAGTGATAAAGCACATGTCTTAAAATGTTAACCTCTGGGGAATCTGAACTCAGGCTATACAGGAATCCTTTGTTCTACTTTTGAAAGTTTCTATAAAATTATTACACAATAAAAAGGTAAAAAGAAAGCAATCACCAAGTGCAATTACTTCCCTCCCCTTGATATACACACCCAGATTTTCGATGGTGTAGTAGCGCTGTTTATAGTCCACTTTGATGGTCTGAGCATGCGGGCTGCCGATACCATAACCAATAGCATACCCTCTGACCACAATGTTCTGGTTCTCTGGAGGGGTCCAGCTCACTACAATGCTTGTGACAAGCGGGCGGACGTGAAGAGAACTAGGTACTTCAGGAACACGAGTTTCTGAGAAAAAAATTGGAAAAGCAAGATGAGATCCATCTTCCTTTACAACATCTCACCACCTTTGGGGAATGGTGTGCAGCCTCCTGCCAAATTATTTGGTGCCATATTCTGGTTTCTCTTCAGAATGCATAAATCTTTCACCTTTTACCAAATTATTTGGTGCTAAGTTTTTTCCATTATGCTTAAGAATTCAAAGAGAATCTTTATATATAGGAAAGCATGGTCCATGGTTTTACTGCATTCTAAGAAGGAAGCAAAACCCAAAGAGTCTGAAATATAAAACACTGCAATATTAATTTGGAAGGGAAGTCAAAGAGATCTAAGAACCTCTGCCCAATAGAAAAAAACACATAAATTGCCTTTTAATAGTTGCCCATTCTTCTTGGTCTCACATCTAATTCCCTAACTTACCAGGTAGAAAAATAAACTAATTAGAAGCCTGTTGTCAACAGGTAATCAAGGATCACATTACAGCAATAGTATTACTTATTTACTCTCCTAAGTAATATGACAAGTCAGAAAACATGAAGCTTTAGAACCACAAATTGATTTAAATGGTAGGAGACCAAGAAGCTTAAAAGGTGGCAATTTACAGTCTCTTTCAAGGCATAAATTGCTATCTTAATTTAAAAATTCATAAACCAAGAGTGAGAAAAAGGACCCAGGGTCTTTTGTTTCCCAAGTTCAGCTCCTGTTTCTGATAAGGGTACATACACCCACTCATATGGACTGACTTACTAAATAAACAGGTGACAAAAAGGACAAGGTGTCTGTGATGAAGCAAAAAGGCAAACTAATGCAAACAAAGGCAAGATTCACATGGTTCAGCCTGACATTTTAGACCATTCATGTACTTAATGTCCTTGGTAAAAAAAACAGACTTAAAGCACCTGTACCTTTTTACTGTCTCTGGTTCTGCTTAAAAAAACAGTTCTTTAAAAGCCACCAGTGGGGGGTGGGGGAGGAGGGAGATCCAGGAAACTTGCTGCATTACAGGAATAACAGGAGTATAATACATTATAGTTCACGGATTAAAATGATATACATCTCAAATCTGTGGCTTTCCAGTTAGACTCACTTAACTCAGTTAGTACCTTGCTGTGTCAACCCTACTAATTGTGGTTCTTACCGTCTAAGTCACTTTCAAAAGTTTCAGCGGACAGCCAGTCAGTAGCTGGGCCTGTGCCATTGACAGTTAGAGCAGCCACTCGAAAATTATATTCAGTCCCCCGATCCAGACCTGAGACCCAAATGAGGAAAAACAAAAACAAAAACAAAAGATCTCTCATTAAGCAATCTCTCATTAAAGCCAGTATCTCATCCACCAACTCAGTACATAGCTACTACCTTGATAAAGTTTAATTTAAAGTTAGTACGAAACAGGCAATACATAAATACAGCACAGAGGAGCTCCCACCTCTAAAGTAGAGGCTGAAGTTCACACAATCCAAGAAGAAAACAGAAACTGAGTAACACTCCCAGGAGATCAGAGATTTTTAAAAAGCGCTTGAAGACATTTTAGAGATCACTGACTGCCATCCCTTCATTTTGTTACTAAGGAAGTTAAGGCCAAAAAGAGGCCAAGAAAAATGAACGAAGTCAGTTGGTCTTAGAAGACACCGAAGACCAGAAAAGAATGCAAGATGTAACTCCTATTTCATCTTTTCTTATGGGCGAGTAGCAGGCAACAGCAGTATGGTGGTTACCAGAGGGAAGGGGGTGGGGGCGTAGTAGAGGGTAAAGGGGACCAAATACATGTGATGAAAGATGATTTGACTGTGGGCGATGGATACACAATGCAATATACAGATCATGTTATCACAGTAATGTACACTCGAGACCTATATGACCCTATTAACCAATGTCACTTAATAAAAAATGAAAATAAGAACAAATAAACTTTAAAAGGAGACATAAATCCTATCTCCTTATCTGTTCTCTGAGCCATTCCATAATTAGAGAAAAAACTTTAAACACCAAACACAGCCTAGAAATCTATTTCTCAACAGCCTACCCACCCATAAATATATACAATAAGTAAAAAAGGAACAAAGCCTTTCTCTTATGAAACCTTTCATATTTACTATCAGCTAATAAAGTACATGATTTATGAATGTATCAAGGGCAACAATGGTCCCCACATAAAAGTCTACCCTACAAAGTGGAGCGACAGTCAATATTCATATATTCATGACTTCATTTTTTTCTTTTTTTTACTGTGTTAAAATTACACATAAAATTTACCATTTTAACCATTTTTAAGTGTACAGTTCACACGCATAGATTTTTAGGTCACTTAAATGCTAGACACTGTGACAGGCATTATAAGGGTTATGAAAAATTATCCTACTTCCCCATATCCAAATATTGGGATCTTTGGCCAGAAACATAGTACAGAAATTCCAAAGAGAGAGCTATTGAGAGAGAATTTGGCCAGGATGAGTCCTGGCTCAGGTAATCAGTCCTGTCACATGGTGTGAGAGGAGAGATGGGAGGTTCTGTTCTTTGCAGAATATCCTGAATCTGTGTGCCCAAAAGAAAGCAAGAAGCAATACTGCAGGAGGAGAAGAAAATTGGCTGGGCCCAAGTCACTTAACCTCCTGGTCTCCTCCCTGCATACATGAAGCAGAAAGAGCCAGAGTAGCTGTATATGTATTTACAATGGTGCCAGAGAGCAGAGAGACCCACGTGTAAAGAGGCTGAAAATTCCTTTTCCCTGAAGTAACCGACAGGATTCATAGACTAAAGCTAAAGCACACAAATCATATTACAAAGATGTGGCAGAATATGTTAAGTGCTCTACGTGGCATAAAAGGAAGAAACAATTACTTCTGGCTAAAACTTAATCAATATGGTATTGTTCTGTACAGGATCCTAGCAATCAGTATTATTCTCTAATAGCTTCGGGGTAATGATTCAAGACAGCAAAGATCTCCATTTCTGGTCACTGTTATATATCCAGTGCTAGCCCATCTAATAAAAACTGATTAAAGACTGTTAAATGAAATGAATCAATTTAAATATTACTATTATTTTTAAAATCACCCTTCTTTATCCTTATATTCTATTTTTAAAAAGATTTTATTTATTTTTACAGAGAAAGGAAGGGAGGAGGAAAAGAGAAACATCAATGTGTGGTTGCCTGTAGTGCGCCCCCTGCTGGGGACCTGGCCCACAATCCAGGCATGTGCCCTGACGGGGAATCAAACCAGGGACCCTTTGGTTCACAGTCCGGCGTTCGGTCCACTGAGCCACACCAACCAGGGCTAAATATGATTTTTAAATGCAAGAATTTTCTTGACAAAGGAAAATCTATTTTTACCATTAAAATAGTATTTTCCTTCTATGTCAGAAGTCTTATTGAGAAAATGAACAGTCTCCTCATAGGCAAGGATTGTACTCTTATTTTCATGCTATTAGCGGCAAGAACAATGTCTGCTATACAGCAATATCTACTATTAAACATGCAAAATAAAAGCTTTAAAGACAGGAAATGTTATTTAACTGTATTTGAAGTAAAATGAGAAACTAACTTTTAAGAACATCTGTGAGCAACTGCACTGTTATGCTCCTCCAGTGAGGTTTCTCAGCGGCAGCCACGCAGAGAGAAGACTGACCTCACGGAGAAACACGCACCCCTTCTCCTGCTCTGAAAGCAGTCCCGTCTCGGGGATGAGGCTTAGGGAGAAAAGCTTGCTGGATCACTATAGTGCACTGTTTCACTGTCTGTTGCTATCTCAATTTTTAGAAACTCATAATGAAGTCAAGACACCTATTTTTGACTCCAGATCTTGGTTCTATCAAGAACCTGGCCTCTGGAGGCATAGGAAAGTCGTTGATGTTAAGCTTCTCTCATCCTTTCAGTGTCTACCTAGGAGGGAAGCAATCCTGGAAAGTTTAGAATCCTGCAGGGTGATAAATTAATTCTCAGGGCTTAGATAATAATGACAATGCCTCCAATTTTTGTCTTTCTCATCTACTAACTCAGCTAGAAACCCCAGAAGGATTTCTTAGGGGCATCTGTCTCTGTTCTTTGTCAGCAAAGTCCCAATAGCCAAAGAGCAAAAAGCACTCCATATTCCTCCCATGGCCTCCTGCAAAATGAACTTCCCCTTCCTAAGCCAACTCAGTTTCCCCCATTTGAGGAAGAAAGAGGGGGATATTCTGTCATCTACAGGGGGAGTCCATATTAGAGCTATGCCATACTTGTTATGTCGCATATAAAGGAAAAACTATACAAAAGAAACTATTCGTCCCTGACAGAACTTTCTAAAACTTGATTGTGCCCATAGTAGCAAGAATGACTACTGCACTGCTACAGCTATGCACGAATGCTGTTTAAGGCCATGTATAACACAAGTGGTGGTGTAACAGGGTGCACCCCGTGTCCTCGAAATGGGGGATGGGTTGGGAAGTGCCAAGGACAGCTCATGAGTGTCACACGCACTCTGGCTGCCAAACAGTACACGTAGCCCTGGCATGGGATGCACACTGGCTGTGCAGGAGATCCTAGAAATAGAAGAGTGTGTGGAAACATGGCTCTCTCCTCTTTACTGGCTATGGGGGAGCGGAGCTCCCGGGCCCTGGGTCTTGGGGACTGTGTGGTCGAGGAACATTCCCAGGGTCCCTCTTGAGTGGGGGCCTGCCTGGAACACAGCAGGAACTAGGCCTGTAAGAGGGGAGGGGAGAAGGCTCAGGCTTGCAGCACCTGGGGAGCATGGCTGGAGGGCAAGCCCTGTGCCCTTGCCCAACACTGGAAGCCGCAGCGGCAGCCAGCCTGCTGCCCACACCTCCAGCACTGGCCTGTCAGGGACAGTTTCTCACTGCTCTGCCTGCTCTGCCTGCTCCAGCCAGGGCAGGCTTAGAGTACTGGTTGGTGCTGGTCCTGGAGGCAGCGCAGCAAAAAGAGAAGTGTTAAAGGGAAGCAGGCCTGGGCCCAGTGACCCCGAGTCCTGTGCCCCTCCCTCCCACATGAGAAGCTACAGGGGCAACTGAAACTGTGCTGCGTGAGACACAGCGGAGAGCAGCGGCTAGAGGAAGAAGACAGCATGCTACAAGCAGGATGCCTGGATGCACAGACTCTGAAAAGATGAATGAAGCCAGACAGCAATGGGAAATCAGCTAAGTCTCCTATATTTCTTTTTCTTTTTTAAAGATTTTATTATTTTTGGAGAGGGGAAGGGAGGAAGAAAGACAGGGAGAGAAACACTGATATGTAAGAAAAACATCAATCAGTTGTCTCTTGCATGCCTCCAACTGGGGACCTGGCTTGCAACCCAGGCATGTGCCCTGACCAGATATTGAACCAGCGATTTTTTGATTCGAAGGCCAGAGCTTAATCCACTCAGCCACACCAGCCAGGGTGCCATCTATGTTTCTTAAAGGACGATACTTCTGGGTGAGAGGAGAGGTTCCTGGCACAATTTTGAACTAAGCTGGCAGAGGGTGGCAGGGTGATTTTCTTTGTGTGCCTTAGAGGAAACAGGTGTTGAGGCAGAAACTGCCATTATTTCAAACTGCACAGACTTTGAATAAAAAATTCCTTGCCTTTCCACTGAACTCTTCCTCTAGAGTTTTTTGCCTGTTGGTGATGAGTGTTCGCTAGCGAACTGACTGTTCGCTAACAGTGTCAGCATTATAAAAATCATTTTGTATACTCTGCTACCAACTAGACTGAGCAGATTCTTTGGTTATATAGCTTTGTTTTAACTTTTTTTCCAGAATACTAAAAAAGCAGTATGTATATTTAAAGAAACAGAAGATATAGAAAAATGCAAGCAAGGAAATAAAACGCAAACACAATCTCACCATTCAGAGATGACAGAACTTGTGTTTTCCATTAATTTTTATCAAGTCAGAAGTAAAATGAATCACTACACATTCTTTTGAACGATTTTTACTTGGTGTAGGTCAACAGCTCAGTGCAGTAATTAGACTAGCATAACTCAGCGTATGAGACAGATACCACCTCCCAGCTTTGGTCTATATGCAAAGCAGTCTACCTTCAACCAGCTGAGACAGCTGTGTCCCGGTTACCAAGGTCTCAGTGACATCACTCTTGCGGGAAGACTTTCGGTAGCGAATTTTGTAGCCAGTAATCTTCCCATTTTGTGTGGCTGGAGGAGGTGGCTGCCAGTGAATCATAATACTCTGGAAAAGACAAGTTTATAGGCAAAAGATGAAATTTGTCAAAAGTTTGGTTCTAACTTTTATGTATTATGATCCTGAATTTAAGGAGGAGGAACATAAAGGCAGTAGGGTGTTCAGAGTTTTATTATTTAATAATCACTCAAAAATACTTTTTAATTAAAACTCCCAGTGATCAAATTGGGAGATTATATTTGCAAGCAGTATCAGTATACTTTAGGCCCTTGATCTTCTGGGTGTTTAGCCAGAATAAAGATGCTGGTCAAAAGTCTCAAAAAAGTTTTCAGAAGAAAATATGAGGTCAGAGGCACATGGATCAGAAAGTAAACTATTGATAGGGGTAAGGTTCTCTTCCTATCTCAATTGTGGGACAGCTGAAATTAGTTAATTTCTGTCTAACTCCTCAAAAAAGGGATCATGAATTAACAAGTTTTTTTTTCTTTTTTAAGGAAAAGGAGTCCAACAGTACTTCCCGAAAGGACCACACATCTCAGATGTCTATGCAGCCCAGAAAGGGCTCTGGGCCTTTTGAGAGGTAAACATGCATTAAATGTACAGTGAACATGAATAGGTTTCAGCATCGGCAACCATTAGACATTCACACTGGGCTCATCTCATAGGACTAAAAGTCTATGGTATCATAAATGACTTAACTTCTTTCTACCTAATTACCAAGGTTCTGAACTGTTAAGCTCTAGAAGGTAATGATTTACATAACAGTAGCAAACATACGAGGTCTGTCCAGAAGGTATCCAGCCATGCAACTATGAAAAATAGAGACATTTACTGAGGAGATACAAGATAAAAGAAACATTGTACACAGGACAATGATGCCTCAGTCCCCTTCAAGACACCTTGGTACCTCACACAGTTCTCCCAGTTGCCATCAGCCGCCCCATCGTATTTTTCTGAGTCTCACTGACAGTCTGAAATCTCTTCCCTTTCAAAGGTGATTTTAGTTTTGGGAAAAGCCAGAAGTTGCAGGGCACCAAATCTGGGCTGCAGTGGGGGCTGAGTCATCTGGGCAATTTGAAGTTTTGCTTAAAAACTCTGGACAGGATGTATGAGCGGGCGCATTGTCATGATGAAGCTGCCAATCATCAGTTGCCCACAGCTGTGGCCTTCTGAATCATCCAAATAGTTCCCGTGGAGAAATGTTGAAGTTTAATGCAAAATTTGATGCAGATTTGTTGCTCTACTCGCTCATTTTGAATACAATAGCAACACTGCGCACATGCTCACTCATGGGCGTCTACTGCCCCCACTGATGAGTTCAGTGAAGTCATTATTATTCACACATGTGCATTCCAGTCCACTCTCCTTGGCTGCCAGATTACATCAATGTTGTGCAAACCATTCTCTTTATATTAACAATGGTTGGACTTTCTCCAAACAGACCTTGCATTTACAGAGAGGCTGAAATAAGTCTGGCATCAGAGAAAGGCAGTAAAGTTTAAACAGGATAAACTGAAGCTGGCTTCTAAGCTCAGTGTCACTGGCAAATATAATAGAAAGGTCATCTTACCTCCTGAAGATGGTTGTTTTAGTATAGAATCTCCCTCTCCATAAGCCCTGAGTCTTATATACCAGTAAAAATGAACAACAGCAATATAAAGTTTTACCTTTGAATTTCTTACTTCTAAGGACAGATTCTGAGGAGCAGCACTGGGAACTGGACAGGCAAAAAATAAATAAATAAATGAATGAATGAATGAATGAATAAATAAATAAAAAGAACAAATAATTTTTTTCAATCACTTATCATTTGACTCTTCTTGGGTAGACTTTACACAAATGCACATCTCAAACACTGATTATGCAACCTGGCGGTCTAAATGCCGCTGTTGATGCCACTGTGTTGACAGCAGTATGTGGATAAGGTGTGGTTACGCTGGACTCATTTAAAAAACTGAGATGCTTTCATATAGATGCACCCATACCCAAGTCAGCTTGTACCTTTGGGAAGTCAGATGCTTATTTCAAGGATGTGACTGACTATAAACTTTTCTAGAACCCAGATATATTCTGAACCTTCACCATATTCTTTTGATTAGCCTTGGTGACAGCACAGCTTTATTTTTTGGGAAAAGCCACAAGTTTTCTGGAAACAACTCTAATGAATATGGCAAGGGAGTAAAGTCCGTAATGGATGAATCCAAAATGTGATGTACATAAATCAGTGAGTTTGGCTTTCTAGATGAGTTCTAAAACTGGTTTTGAAGGCAGTTCCCAAGTAAAGCAAAGAGACAGCTTCAGTGAAGTGACCATCTGGCTCCTCAAGACAACTGTATAGCAGGGAACACTCGTTTAGATGTGAGAAGTTTGAAACAATGCTTAAACAGCTGCATAATTTTAGTTCCTTACATACTAGAACATGTGACAGGGGATTCTCAAAGTTAATGGGTCACACAGCCTCCAGCATCCCCCTTTGTAGTAACTAAAGCAAGCAAAGAGAATTTAAGTGGTCCTAATTAGTTTCCTCTCTGCTCACAAAATGCCGACTTTGGTTTTTCTCTCCTAATCCATGTATGGTATCATTTGCTCTTTCTCTGACATTTAGTGATCAGGCACATAACTAAGTGCCCTGTGTGCTGTAGGCTTCTGGAGGACGAAGTATTTCTTGCTTAATGTTGTATCTTGTACAAAATGCATCAGGCCTCAACCCTCAAAGGGTCTGGAGAAGGACTTAGCCACCTGCTCCACGAAGGGCTCCAACCACATCCCTGTTCAGAACCGTGACTGAGCTGCAGAGGCACCCGCACAGTCGCTGTTGCTGTCTTCCTCGCCATCATCACAGCTAACGTGTGCTGCATGCTCTTACACGGCACGGACTTCATCCTTACAACAGTCCCACACGGTGGTTTCCATTATTATTCCCACGTTACAGAGAATGTTCAAATCATTTGCCACATATTTGTGTCAGCTAATGTAGGAATCAAAATTTGTCCTACTCCTGAGTGCTGCCATTAACCACCTCGCTCAGACACATTCAGTTCCCTGGCAGGCGCTAGAGTTAACGTGCCAACCCACTCAGTGTAATTAAAACTATCTCATGTGTACATTTCAAAGTCCCCTCGACTTTTAAAAGTCTTGACCAACTGGCTTATGTAGCTGGCTAATCAAACTATAGTTTATATTTATTTTTCCCAATTTATCTTGAAAAATGTCAAACACACAGAACACAATGGCAAGGATAGTACAATGCACACCATATATTCTTCTCCTGAATTCACCAAATGTTAATGTTCTGCCACGCCTGCTCCATTTCTCTCTATTTACATATACATATTTATCTGTCTAGAGACTGGATCATCTGAGATAGCTGCAGTCACCATGATACTTCACTCCTAAATATAACAGTATATATCTCCTAAGATCAAGGACATTCTCCAACAAAACTGTAATACAATGATCACTTTCAGAAAATTTAATCTTAACACAAAATATTATCTATTGAATATATCTAATAACACATCTAATAATATACCTATTTAAAATTTAGTAAATGTATCAATAATGTCCTTTATTTATTTTTACTTCCAGATCCAGGAATCAGTAAAAGATCATACATATTTTATATTATTTCATGTGTCTTTACTCTTCTCTAATCTCGATTCCAAAATGAGTTCTAACCTTTCCTCTCGTGAGACTAATATTTTTAAAGAATACAGGCAAGTTTATTTTAATTTTTTTGCATTATTTCCCCCAATTTGGGTATGTCTAGTTGTTTCATCGCAATCAGATTCAAGTTAAACATTTTTCACAGGCATACAACACAGGTGAAATAGGCATTGTGTCTTTCTCAATGCGTCATATCAGGCAGGATACATATGATGTCAGCTGGCTCTGTTGTTGCTGATGTTATGTTTCACCATTTGCTTCAAGTTACATACCATTCAAACTACAGCTTCTAAAGCATGCATGTTTACACATAAGGGATATGTACACCTACATGCATTTTTTAGAAAAAGATTTTTTTAACACATTAAATTTAGGTGAGTTCCAGTAAACAATACATACATTTACTAAGAATAATAAACTGTTATTTTCTGTTCTATTCTAAAAATACATATTTTTAAATGCTGATCTTGACCTACTCAATCTCTTTGGCAAGGCTGAAAAATACTGCTCTAGGTAATGGGTATATGCATATATCTAACTTAGCTTAGAAATTCAGTCACAGTTGAGAAATCAAACTGTCCTAAAACACAAAGAAATTAAAAAGACCCGTTTGGCATGCAAATATGATTGCTAAGTAGAGCAAGGCCAGCCTTCCCACAGCCCTTGAATAGTCTGTGTTATGAATAAGCAATAATATTTACTTATACAAAAGCCCCTACTAAAAATAACACTGAAAAGCTATTTGGTGCCTGGCACCACCATGCTCTATGATCTCTCACTAAATCTTTATGGCAACCCAATGAACTTGCTATTATTCACATTTTTACATCAAGGAAATTTGTTAAGTGACTCAGACACATTAAGTGACTTGACCAAAGCCACACTACAAAAAAAGGTTTCTGGGATTTGAACAGGATCTTCTTACATTAAAGCCCATGACCTTACTACTAAGCCACCAGGGCCCCCAAGCACAGTATTTTGTTCCAAAGAAAGAACATCTCACCATCTGACAATGTTTGAACAGCAACATCTTGTGTGGAGACTCCAGGACCATGTTTATTGTAGGCCACCACTCGGAAACTATATTCTGTATATTTTTTCAACCCATTAATGGTGTGTGAGTGACTTGAAACATCAACATCCTTGAATAAAATAAAAACAACTTATATATACACAACTCACACACAAAAAAGTTACAAAAAAGAATTAACTACACAAATTCTGTATTTGACACAATGCAGACTTTTATCCTTTGTTATTTAACATTCAAAGCAGATTAATCATAAACACTGGCCATCTACTGAGAACTAGTGCTTGGCATTTATTGACCCTTGCTGGTAAAAACTACAAACCAACCTTGGCACAAACCACCCCCCCCCCCCCCGCAGGATCTGTCAACTTTTCATTTCCTGTAACTTCCCTCCGCCCCCTCAGATTTCTAGACTAACAAGCACTGGCTTTAGGAAATACAGTTCAACTCTACTATTCCAATCAATGGATTGAAGACTGGCTTCCTAAAATCATGTACGGTGTCAGATGGGTCCTAGACTTACTGGGGTGATCACTTCATAAGGTATATAAACGTCTAATCATTATGTTGTACACCTGAAACTAATGATAATGCATGTCAGCTATAATTGAAAAATAAATTAAAAAAGAAAAAAAAGAAAAAATGACTTTATCTCATACCTGTTCTTTGTCAGTCCCTTTCTCCATGTAGTACAATTTGTAATTCTGAATCTCCCCATTGCCAGACAACGGTGTTTCCCAGGTGACAGTGATGGAAGTAGGGGAAGTTGCATACGCTCGGATGTTAGGTGCTGGGCCGGGGAGCTGAACTGGAAAGAAAATTTCAAGATGGCAAGATATAACTGAATTTTACTGCATTTCTCAATAACCATTCTCAGCAATAATGTCATAATGGCCATGTTTTAAAAACAATAAAAAACTAAAAAAAACTGATATGATTGAAGTGGTTTTAGGATAATATTAAACAAATTTCTCTTTTTATGACTTAAAATTAAATTTTATTTGTGAAGAATCTCAAATTCATTAATAGAAAAAAAAATGAAGCCCACAGAATTTTCCCTGTGGGTTTACAAACTCTTAGTTTGGCAGTGGAACAGCAGCACATACAAAGCCACCATCACAAAGAGGGAGGCTTTGAGGGAGTGGGCCTGTGGGGATGGACAGAGTCCCTTTCCACAAAGAACTGTCTATAGGGAAGTCAGATATATAAATAGTTACAAAAAATGTCGTATAGTTACAAAAAATGTCATAAGTATTAACAGTTAAGTAGCAGATGTAACAAAAACAGAAAGGTAATAGCCCTGGCTGCGTTGCTCGGTCGGAGTGTTGTCCTGTGCACCAAGAGGTTGCAGGTTCGATCCCTGGTCAGGGTGCATATGGAAAGCAACTGATGGATGTTCCTCTCTCACACTGATCTCTGTCTCCCCTCCACCCTCTTCCTCTCTAAAAACTATAAACATATGCTTGGGTGAAGATTAAAAAAGAAAGAGAGCACAAAATCCTGCTTTGGGAGAGTGTGGGTAGTAAAGAGAAAGATTAGTGATAATTTCTGGGGAGCAAGAAAAATGAATAGTTTTTTCAGATACAAAGGGGAAAATTATTCCAGCAAATGAGGAATATGTGAGAAGACAGTGTTATGTGGTTCAGGCTGAAACAGAGAACAGATGCAGGAGAGAGATGACTGAAAAGGATGACAGGAGCTGGATAATGAAGCACCTTTAACGCCCTGCCATGGAATCTGCATTATCTCTTGTAGGTTTCAGATAATTATTGAAAAATTATGAGCACAAACATGACACTATCAGGTGTGTGTTTAGAAAGGATATGTGAGCACATGCATGGAAGAAAAGAGTAAAGGACCAAGACTTGATAAAAGAATGATTTTTAAAATAGCTACTTTGTATTGAATGTTTATAGTCAGGCCAGTATTGAGTGCTTTACATGCATGTAAATTACATCTATTTAATCTTTGCACTAACCCAAATGAGTGGGTTACTATTATCACCCCCATATGCAGATGAGGTTGAGCAGTTATGAACCATTCCCAAGTGATGGCAAGTTAGTGAGTGCTAGAGCCAGGAACTGAGCACTTCCTGATTCTAAAACATGGACCCAGCACCAGTTAAGAGATCAATATGACCCCCTTCCACAGGACGCACGTGCCTGGAGGACTTAACGGGTGGCTGAATGGATGACTGCTCTGCTCTAATTCCCACAATGTCTCACATACATTTATACCTTTTCATTATATTCTTTTTGTCTGACTAACAGGTTCCAGCCTCAGTTTCTACACAAATCCTGAGTGGTTACCTACACCTGCACTTTGCTGGACCCTTTATTTGAAAACAACTTACCTGGTGCTAGTGTTTCTGTAACAGACACCCATTAGATTTAAGGAAGGAGAAAAAAAATTAACGGAGTATAAAACAAACTGGCTTTCTTAAATAACAGCACCACAACTTAAAATTAGTTTTGCTACTAAAGCAGAGATACCTAACTATGGTTATTCTCGACAGTTGTTTACTTTTTAGTCCTGAGTCATGTTATTCGCTTAATGTTAAGAGTATACTTTGTGCATCCTGACAGGTGGGATTTGTCACACCTCTGCTGATACGGAAAACTTTCCTCTAATGCAATAAAGGGGAAAGAAAACAAAACAGTCCACCAATTCCCATGAAATCACCTTCCATACATTCATTGGCTAAGCTAAACATAGGCCAGTATGATCCTAAAAAAGGTGCAATCAATTCTTTCATTTTAGCAGTACAGTGGCATAATAAATGGAAAAAAAAAGAACTTTTAGTTGATTTGTAAAACTAAATATGTAAAATATTTTCCAAGGCTGACTGCAACACTGGGCCTCCACAGGCCCAAGTGCCTGCAGATGCAGTGCGCGCTGCTCTCCACTAAAGCCTCTCTCTGCCAAAGCACATGTAGTCAACTGCCATCCCTAAAGACGCCCTCCGCAGAATCTGCTGCCCCTTCCATCTGTAGTCTTATTTAACTACCTTCTTTTAATCAAACTCCTTGAACAAAGGATTGTGCTGCCTACCTTCCCTGTGTTTACAGCACATCACACTCCTGTCAGTTTACCTGTCTGTCTCTGGTATCAGACCGTAAGCTTCCTGTGGACAGAAGTCTTACTCATCTTCACATCTTGACTCATCTTTACATCAGTGACTGGCACACATGGTAGGCACTCAAAAAATTTACTGTCCCTCACATTTTTTCTTTCATCTTTAAATTGATAATGACCCTTGTAGTCCAGTGGTTCTCAACAGTTTGACTCATAAGTTCTGAAATGATAATAAAAGCCACAGGCTCTTCCCCAAGGAAAATGTCACTATGTACAGACACACAAATATTTCATGTATTTTCAGAAAGTTCACAACCCTAGGGTGGAACTCTTGCACTGAATCAAATTCAGTGGTCTTTTATTTTCATCATGATTCCCCTTGCATGCATAGTTTGATCCTATTTTGGGAATTTGGGCCATGCAGTTTCCCTCCCCAAGAATGCTTCCTCTAAGTCAAATGTTTCTAGGTCAATTCTCATCTTTTCCTAGGAGCAGGCCTAGCTTTTACAGTAATTGTTCCTTGTTTTGTATCCCAGTATCTCTCATAAATGACACCTGTACATGAGAGTTAATGGAGGTGAATTGAGCTTGAAATCTCATAAGACTGTTTCTGCTCTTATCTGGAAACAGTAACTGTGGAACTCAACATTTCTTCTTAAATCAACCTGCTAACTCTCTGATCGCCCTCTTGTTCCTGACAGGGTTTGATTCCTGATCTTTACACTCTACCAGTGACATAATCAGTAGCCTCTCATCTCAACTGCTTGTTCTTTAAGACGAGAAGTCCTACCTTGTACATTCCCCACATCTCCAATACCTTGTGCAGAGCCTGGTTGGGGGATTCTCAATAAACATTTGATCTGTTACAGCATTAGGAAGTGAAGTTCCATAGACTCTGGTCTTATTCCACCCATCAGTCCCATGAAGTCTTTGAATTACTTTCACAGTTTCACTGGCAAATTCATGCAATCTGTTTTAGTTTCCTGGTCTGTAGCTTCCATGAATGTTTTGCAGCTATGTCAGCCATAACTAAAGTAAAATCTTTGTTACTGAAGTTTAACAGTAGAAGAAAACTGGAGAAGGCTATGATGAAAAACAGTGGTTTGTGCTAAAAGAAGGTAAAAATGTAGAGGATAGCCTCATGGGAAAAGCATTAATTATGATTTGATTGCTTACAATCTTAGGCCTATAGCTGACAACCAAAATTTAAAACATGCAAGGCATTTATAAAAAGTAAGTCAACCTGACACTCATTTCAATTTTAGAAAATCTTAAGAAATGTAATTGGAAGTAAGAGCATTTAACACAAAAGACTATAGGTTCAAAGTAAAGCCCTAAAGAGATTTTGATGTTTATAAAGATCAGGACAAGCCCGGTGATAACAAATACTATATACCTATTTCATGTGTAGGGCCCTACATTAGACACTGGGAAATACAAAGATGACAAAGACTCCGCCTTTGCTATAAAACAAATGAGATATATTCATAATCACACTTCAAGGAAGAAAGTGATACTGTATCTTAGAATTGTAGAGATACAATATTAGCCAGGATCAGAAGAAAGAACCTAGAAGGCAGCTGAAATAGGTCTTAAAGCATCAGTAAAATTTGAGAATATATCAGTAGAATTATATTGTCTTACACTATTTGTTACTGTTTGATGTGAACTAATTTTCTCTCTCCTAATTCATAAAATCCTTATAAAGGCAAGGGACTGTTACATTTTGCACTGCTGTGGTGTGCAAGGCTACATATAAGGTAGATTGACCTACTAGGAGTACTGAGAGACAAGTGGAAGACTTACCCTCAGGCTGTGTTTCCACATGGAGAGGAGCTGAACTCTCTCCGGAGCCATGCTTATTGTGAGCCATCACTCTGAAGATGTACACAGTCGCAGGCATTAGATTTTGAATGGTTACCTGCATTTCTCCCGGACGACTGGTGTTCTCAACACGTTCCCTTTGGACAAAGAGGGATTTGGAAAGAAACAGCATTGATTAGGAATATTTCTAAAATATGCAGTTTCATTTTCATTGTGATACCTATATACCATAGCACATCAAAATCTTATCAATTTGTATCAAATTAACTCTCAAAAAAGGAAACTTTGGAGGATGAAAACTGTGTACAGCCGAACAGGGAAACCTGCAAAGATCAATGTCATGCATTTCTGAGAACTTACTGATGTTCCTGTTTAAATATTACTGATATCGCTGGTTATATGATCACAACTTCTTTGCAGAGAAGACACAGACAAGAGTCTTCTCAGTGCCATTTCAAATGGGGCAGCTGTTCATCGATTGTGTAGGCTTCAGAAATTACTGAATTTTAAGGGGTGATTCTCAGGAAGACAAACAGAAGGTGATTATAGGTATGACTCAGTTTTCACAGAAAAAATCGAGGGGTTCTGTGTATATTTTGCATCATAAGACTCTCAATAAAAGGAAAACAAGAGATTATGACTTTTAAAATTGGGTAGAAAACAGTAAAAATTCAATGAAAGCTTATCTATAAAATAAGCTAATCATGACACTGATTTTTATAATTTTTTAAAAAACAACACTCTTTTTGAATGAAATTTTCAAAATGCTTTGAAATGTTTGACAAATCTTATCACAAACAGTACAAAATGAATATAACAGTCTAGCGTCATGAGATGAAAACATAAAAGCAATTTTCTAGCTTCTTGAAAAAGTAGTGTCCAGGCTCAATCTTGGGGGGGGGGGTCTTCATTTTCACACTTGGGTCTATAATTATGCTCAGTCTACTGTACTTACTACAACAGAAACCAGACTGTATTACAGAGGCATTTTCAACAAATAATATGAAGGAATTTACTTGAATTAAACAAGAAGCAGTCTTTAAAAATTGCCAGCCAAGTGAAGAAAGATCTGTATCTATCTTGAGAGAGTAGCAATAAAAAGGCCCAAAACTACTCTGTGGAAGAAATTATTTGAAATTACCTAATCTATTGAATTACAATTCTAACTTTAAAATATTGGTAATTTTTCCCTGAAATTACTGATTAAAATTTTAGTTCTACATGACTAATTTGTCTGACTATATATGAACATCTGCATTTTAGAAATGGAAGTGTTTTTTAATAGTTTTCTACAGTTCTTTAACCTACCTTCTTTTAATTAAAAAAAGAGACAAACAGTTCCCACATATTAGTAGATGTGGTTTTTTCTATAATCAGGTCCACTGAAAAGAGTACTATGGTATCAAGAGTTACTGCTCAGAGATATCTGAGTATTTATAGATACTATTTTCTCTTCAGATAAACCTCTAATTCACAAGATTCCGGAGGATGACAACTGATTTCTTACATTGAGGTTTCTGACACAAATGATTATAGTCTGAAAGGAAGTATGTTATTTTGTATCTCACTAAACCAGCGATTTCCCACCTTTTTCATCTCAAGGCACACATAAACTAGTTATTAAATTCTGCAGCACACCAAAAAAAAAGAAGATTTTTTGCCAGTCTGACCAAAAAAAAAAGATGTAATTTTTATTCATTCACAACTGAATGGCTATTGTTGTTGGCTGTTGTCATTTTTTAATTTGACAGTCTAAGGGAAAAGAGGTTAATGCCCCTAACTAAATAGTCAGGTACTGCATTTTGTAAATATTCTTGTAGCACACTGGTTGAAAATTGCTGCCCAAAACTAAAACCTCCACCTGAGAGTAGAGATTAGGTCTGTTTTGCTCACTCTGTGCTTGAAAGTCTGAACAAGCTCTCTCTGGAAAAATGAGTGTGCTATTTTACTATAAATTGAAGTGAAAGGACGTCTCATGTGTGTTCACATTCTACACAAGTACTCAGCAGAATGCTCACACATCATAAATGTGTGCTGAACACGGAACGGAAATTTGCCTTCTGATACATAAATCCTGTATAGTAATGATACCATGTGCATCTTTGGTTTGTTCTACGTCAAAGGAAAAAAACGGGACAAATGAATGAAAGGAACTAAAAACCTAGAACAAGTTTCAATAGAAGCTTTAAAATTAAAAAAGTCAGTAATAGTTATATGTCTCTAAGATTAAATACCCAGCATCTGAAAAGATTTCTAATATTAGATTGGTCTGAGGTCCCAGAACCAAGTGTCAGTCTAGCAAAAAACTTCAGGACAAGATCCAGGGTGAGTTATAAAAGGATAATGCTGATAAATGTGTCAGGTTACACAGCAACTTAGATTAGAATGTGTAAGCTAAGAGTCAAACAGAAAGAAAAAAGTATACTTTATATTAAGACAGTGTGGGGCTACAAGTTAGGATGTCCAGTTCTAGCTCTGGCAATACCACTACCTTTCCAAGGGACCATGGGCAAGTCCACAGTGCTGGGCCTGTTTATTCATGCAGTGAGAAAAATGAGATCAGGATGGCAAACTTTTTCTTCAAGGGTCAAATATTTCTTAAACATTTAATAGGCCAAGAGGCAAAATGGAAAATATTATGTAGTTACTTATATAACCTATTACAATGTAACCATCTGAACATGTAAAAACTGTTTCTAGCTCCTGGGCCATAAAAATAACAAGTCTGATTTGGCCCACGGTTCATAGTTTGCCAACTCCCGAACTAGACTAACAGATGTCCATCTCTAAAATTCGATTCATTTATGGAATAACTTACTCTGTGTTCTCCATTTAGTAGCTAATATCAGAAAAGAGCTGCTGTTTACATTAAAGGCACTGAAAATAAAAGGCGGACATTTCACAGTTGAAAAGACAAAGCAAGGACTCTGAAACTCAGGAACCCAACAGAATTTTGGTAGCTCATGTACAAGGCACACAGTGCCACCTGCTGGTTGAATTTTCAAAGGCAGGAAGTAGGCTTAGTAAGTCTGTGAAGAAAACTTACTCTCATTTTGATAAGAAAATTTAATCTTGTAACAGTTTAACAAATTTTCTTTATAAAACAAGTAACCAGGATCCAGTCTTTTTACTTGTGTTCTTTCTACTTCACCACTTCTATTCAGAAATCATAAAGTAATGAAGTGACAAAATATATTACAGTCCAGTCTCCAAGAATCTTCCTTTGAAATACTTCACATATTTATTCTGTCCACTGCAAGACACTGCTTTCATCCCCATCTATGCCATACCTACCACACGTCAGGATTAACATAACCACTATCTGATTCATCCCCTTGACTCCATTTCTTGTCCCCTCTAATCCTGTGTGGTACTCAAAGTGTTGCTAATAAAACCTGTTTAATAAAATCACAGTGCACACTTGCTCGTAAGTTTAAAATGGTCCCCTTTTTAACTGATTACGTCCAAATTCTTACTGGTATACCAACACTTTTCCTTGAAACTTCAACTTTATTATCTAATTCCTACCAAAAACTCTGGGCCAGTTAGACTAGCTTTCTTAGTTTTCCATCCTTCAAACACCACACACACAAATTAAATTGGACCCTCCTTGCACCTTCTCTTCCTTTGTACTATATTCCCTGCCAATTATAAAAGTTACACAATTGAACTTTTATATTTTTCTCAATTCCAACTTCATTTAATAATTATCATGCTTATTTTAAATCAATGATAGACTTAAAATTTTGAAATGTGACAGATTTTCATTAAAAACAAAAGTATATATAGTTAGAAGTTTAAAAAATGTAGAAGTATGCATTTTTCTTGCTCCTCAAAACCTGTCCTACCCTGAGACCTAACTGCGGTATATATTGGCCTATATCTTACCAGATCTCTTCAAGCCAGGCTCTCTCAACCTCAGTAGCACTGAGATCGGGGGCAGAATTCTCTGTTGTATGAGGCTGCCCACTGTAGGATGTTTATTAGCATCTCTGGTTTCCATTCACTAGATGCCAGTAAGCATCTCCTCCCATCTGTTATGATGACCAAAAATGTCACTGGACATTGCTAAATGTCTCCTGGGAGGCAGGGGGCAATGCTGTAGGTATTTACATACACATCAAAATACATAGGTATAAGTCACTTAACAATGTTTGCATCATACTTCATGTGGATATACATGTACTAATTATGTAACCATTCCTCTACCAAGAGACATTTACTGTTTTTTTTTCATTTTTAGGAACAATGCTACAATAAACATTTTATACAAGAGCTCTATGCGTAGGTATATTTGTAGCTCAAGAGGACACCTAAAAGTGTAATTGTTGGTTTAAAGGCTATATGCACTAAGCAGATACAAATATCTGCCAAATCATCTTCTTCAGAGGCTACTTTAATTTGTACTGCCATCAAGAACCTAGAGCAAATTTCTTCCCAGCATTTAACTTGTTGAACACTGGATATTATAAACTTAAAATTTTTGCCAGCCTTATAGGTGAAAAATGGTAACTCATTATTTTATATTTCCAAGATTGGTAGTAATAGTGGAAACCTTTTTTTAGCTTTAATGAACTTTCCACTAACTTCTATGAATCACCTACGCATACCATTTGCCTCTTGGGATATCTGTCTTTTACTTATGATTGCTGGAGCTCTTTATACAGCTTGAACATCAATTTAATCTTTTATGAATATTATAAATTTTTCCCACCTTATGACTTGATAGTGTGACTTTGTTTATGATGTTTTATCACATGGAATTTTATAACAATAAAAATAGCCTCTCTTTTTTTCTAATGTATTTGTAAGTTTTAAAAAATATATCTTGATCCACCTGTAATTTGTTATACATAATACAAGACAGAGTAGAACTTTTTAAAAATCCTCACCTGAGGATATGTTTTTAATTTTTTAGAGAGAGAGGAAGGGAGAGAGAGAAAAACATTGATATGAGAGGGAAACATCTGTGGGTTGCCTCTTGTATGTGCCCAGGCCAGGGATCAAACCTGTAACCTGGGTGTGTGCCCTGACTGGATACTGAACCTGAAAATCTTTGCTCTATGGGACAACACTCGAACCAACTGAGCAACCTGGCCAGGGCAGAGAGACAGAACTTTTATTCTTTCCACCAAATGGAGTTAATTATTTCAACATAATTTTTTGAATAATTATTATTCTTCACTGAGATTAATTTATTCTCTTAATGAATGTTTATTTAGTGCTACTACATGCCAGACTCTGTTCTAGGTGCTTGGTGGTACGTTATTGAACAAGACAGACACAATAAATAAGTTAATAAAAAAGAAAATTTCAGAATGTTACATGTTCTAGAACAAAAGCAAAGAAAACAGGGTGCTGTGATGGCAGTGGTGTTCTAACACATGTCTAGCAGTCAGTTCTGGTCGGCAGCACTTGCTGCATATGCTTCTGCCAATGCCCAACATCAAGCTACCAAGTCATGTCATCAGTTTGCAAAGTTTCCTGAAAATTTAATAATTGGCTTGGGAACAATGTGGTTCCAGGAGAGCACAGTGTGAGAGTGACTGAGGCTAAGCTGGGTGGGTGCATGGAAGCTTGAGGAGGTGTCATCTGAGGGAGCCAGACAAGAGCCAGACAAGAGCCAGACAGTTATTTGTGAGGGAAGCACACAGAGGAGGAGGAACAGGGTGAAGGCCTGGTAGTGAAAGCAAGCTTGCTATTCTGAGGAATGCTAAATGCTTTCTCTTGTGAAATACTATGCAATTTGTAGTGAGATTTGAAAGCCGACTGGAGACTTTTTAACAGATGCTGTTTGATAGTAATGTCTTGAATTTTTGTGTCAAGAACTGTGTTTCCTTATCTTTGTAATTCCCAAAACAATCCACTGCAGTGTTCAGACAAACATTACCCTATAAGTACCTTCATCTATCTGGCTCAATTATGTCACTAGGACTTCTCAAGAGTGTTAAATCAAGGAGTCTTTACTTGATCAAGGTTCCTACAGTTGCTGAATTCATCAGTCTGGTATTAAAGACAATATCTATCAAATGCCAGAACCTTAGTACGAATATATGCTTTATTTCACGAGTTAAAGCCCTAACTAAAACAGACATTTTAAGGTTTTTTTCCCCTTCTTTTCCTGTGGTGAAGTAATAGCGCAATGAGAGAATCTACTCAGCAATGCTAGGAACACATAGTTAGCATTACGGCATGGTTCCTCTCAAGGAGTTTACAGTCAGGTTGGGAGAACACCACAAATGCACATAGAAAATAGAAGAGTAACAGCTTATGGCAATTTAAGATCATGTGTTAAGCGCCAGTAAGAGTGGTACAAACAGAAATCTAAGAGAAATGTTATAGGTACTGGAAAGGGCAGAGAGACCTTTATGAGGGACCATGGGGCTTACCCTGAGCTGAGAGGATGAACTGAATTTAGCTTTAGCTGAGAAAAGGGGAAGGGGAACTGAGTGAAGAGTCTAGACTTGGAAAAAGGCTACACAGTGGTAAGAACTAGACTAATGCCATTAGGACGTGAGTTCAGCTGGGAGGTAAGGAACAAAAGGTTGGACAGAGAGAATCAAGCTGGACTGTGGAGGAAAGCAGCCTGGGGGTTCTGGAGAGTCTCTAGGCGATGGAGAGGCGATGTGAGGTCCTGGAAAGGGCAAAGATGGAAAGGAATTTAATGAAAATGCTGTTTTAGGAAAATTAATCTGCAATTACTTGTGTCATTAAGGAGACCCTCTGAAATTCAGTAGCCCACATACTTATAAGGATGCAGGCAAATGTTCATTTCAGAGTAGATTAGTATGTTAAGTCTACCTTAATTTATAGAATCCGAAAGTTCTAAATAAGCCTTATTTTATTAGGCTGTGCTGACTGAATCTTATGAACAAAGGGTAGCCCTGGTTACATTTTAATACTTCAACCTAAACAACTCTATCTATCTTCTCCCCAAGTCACCCCAGAAAGGCAGGAAAGAATACCAAGACTTCAGTCTGTTTGGGGATTTATTTATAATGACCTAAAATGAGGAAAGATGCATCTCAGTGATTACAGAGCCAGGGTGAGCACGACTGGGCTGGGTGGACCAAGATGTAGCCAATGGGCTTCCGACATAAGTGTACTTACCTAGCAATCCCCTCCTTGGTATAGAAGACAGAGTAGGTAAGATTGTCTCCATGAGGATCTGATGCAGGTGTCCGCCACGTCAATTTGATGAAGCGGGTAGAGACCAGGGAGGCCACGACATCCCGAGGAGCTGAAGGCAGTGGTCCCGCTGTGGCTGGTGCTAGATGGTCAGTAGTGGCACTGGTCAGTGAAGTGGGAGGTAATGTTGGGATGGCAACATCTTGTCATGTGCAAACATTGGGGAATATGAAGGGAAAACCACGACGGTTTTAAAAAAGAGAACAGAAAGAAAAAAAAAAGAAATAAACAAAACCACGATGGGAAATAAAATAAAATGAATGAACATAAAAAAGGCCATTAAACTGAAGGCTAACATGCAGGCCAGGGGGAACTACTGAAAACTAATGGGCACTATTCAAGGCACATTATTGCTGAGTGAGCAGACTGTTTGGTCACTATAATGGTTATGGGCAAGGACAGGGAGGGTGAAAGTTGAGAATAAAATATCTCACAGAAGGACGCAGCAGCGCCCAAGTAATTTTCTTTAATCCAGAAAGCAGCACGCGGCACCTGTTAAACTTTGCATGGTGAAGTCTCATACATGATAAGACCTCCATATTTTCTACTTTATCAAACTATGGAGCAATATGTGTAGTCTGCATGAGCCCAGTTATACTCAACAGAGGGCCCAGGCACTGCGACCTCACTAAAGACCTTTGTGTGTCTTCAGCTCCGCAGGGATGCCACAGCCACATTTCCAATGTTAGTTTAATACATCAACTTCTGTTCCCTGTGTTGGCAATACCCAGGGAAGTTTGACAACCTTCCTCAATTTGCTAAATTATAGTCATTTGCTATCTTATTTACTATTAATTAACTACTTCAGTATAAAATCATAAATCAAAAATTCCAAAGCCACAAAAATACAATACATAGGTAGCTTATCTGTTACAGTTCTCACCACAGTTATATTACAAGGGATGGGATAGGTGGAGCGGTGCGAAGTCGAAGCTCTGTATACCTGTAGTCCTGGCTAACTTTTTTACTTCCTAAGGCAATCTCATGGACAATTCAGATTTTACAAGTTTATTCCTAAAATTAACCTAAAATATCCTTTACCTTGGGAGCCAGAGGGCATAAATTTAATCTTACAATTTTTAACTAAAGGAGTTCATTAGAATTCTGTCATAACCTTAATGGGGAAATTAGCAGAAGAGAAGCAGAGAGGAAAACATGAAAATTCTCTACCTAGTTTTCAATGAAATGGTACAGCAACAACCCCTTGGAAATGTCTCTGAACTGCAAGAAACTCTAAAGTGAGGCAGTCTAAATAAATATGCCAGAAAGAATAAGTTCTCTAAGGGAAAAGGCAGAGAAAGAACAGCCTAGAGTCTCTAGACATGTGAAGAAGGGGAAAGAGTAATTCAATAGCTATCATTTACTGAACATCTTCTACACAGCACTGTAAATATTCATATGAACGCATTCAATTCTTACAACTCCAGAAATAGGTACAGCGCTATCATATATCTCTACCTTATATGCAGCAGCTGACATTTAAAAGGGCTCACTCACTCATCCTAGGTCACACATACTAAGTGGTAACATGTTAAAACCAAACTTGGTTTTTAGTTTAAGAGGCCTCTGGATTTAGCCAATAGAACTTCTAGTCCTGGCTGTACCACTTACTAATTATGTCACCTGAGACAAATCGGTTATTCCTGCTCACTTGTTCCTTGTCCTCCTCTTCTGAGGCAGTCCTTTTAGGCGTGCAGAGCGCTACTGAAATGTGAGACTATGAAATCATACTTCAGATACAAGTCCACACTTCACTGACTCAAGCGTCAAGTCTGAATGGCCACCAAGGCCTCATTCTTATTCCTTATACTTCAACAGACGCGCTGTCTCAAAGGACATATACACCCTCACAGCTTTCAGAGTTCTTTTCCACATACTGTGTCAGTTTATTCCCACAAACAACCCCATGAGGCAAAGCGGCAATGTCAGGATCAGATGTTGGGGTGAAGGTCAAAAAGAAGTGCAGGACTACCGGGTTTCCAGTGTGTGAGAACGGGCCGTTAGTGGTGTCATTACCAAAGAAGGAGAGCGCGGACTGAGGGAGAGGTGGTGAATCTGGTTTTGGACATGTTTTGTCTAAAGTAACAATCCAACATCCACAAGAGAAATGTATAAGAAGCAATTGGAAATGTGGATCTCTGATATTTGTAAAATTTAAAGTCACTAAAACCCTTAGAGAAAAATGGTTCAGAGTGGCCTGAAGAGTCCTGCTTTGCTGCCTCATTTCAGTGCCAGAAACACACTAAGCTGCCTCCAAATCTCACACAAGTCATCAAGCTACTTTTTTCCCCCAACTATTCGCTGGCTGGAGAAGAGAGGGAGCTTGGAACAAGAGGGAGTACTAGACCATGATTTCGAATACAAAAACATTAGGTTCAAAGCTTGACTCAGCCACTTCCTAATAATGTAAAATTGGGCCAGTCACTTAGCCTCCCTACCCATCTCCCAGGATGCTATGAATAAGATGAGTATCAGTAAGAAATGTGCATGTGGAAGCACATATTATCACCACGCAAGCCTAAATGGGTGGCAAACACAAGAATATTAAGTATAAAGGCAACTAGGAAGGGAATGCAAGCAGGGAGGACTAGGTGATGGAATTACATAATGGATAATAACTGGAAGAATCCTGCAGAGAAATATAATTAATCTACTGAACTTCTATTGTACACATCTGTAATTCTTTAATGCCATCCCACACTTCCCAGTTACATTTTTCCCGTTCATACTGCATCACTTACACTAACTTATAAGCCCCTTGAAGATAAAATCTGTATCTGTATTATATGGGAATCACGCACCATGTCTCTGTATTTCCTGAATAGTAAGTGGAAGAAAATTCAGGGAGGGTGGTAGTGCAGTGGTGATCAATGTTTCTAGAATCTCATTACACAAGGCAATAGTTGAATCTTTTTAGCTCATACAAGGTATATCCAGAACGTATTTAATGTTATACATGATGTAAGAGTATAAATAATGCTGGATCTCTGTAAAATGATTCCTAACTAGCCACGGCAAAATTTCATGTCCATTGCAGAGCTTGTGTTTAATACCCACTATCCCCAGACTGGGTCATCTGCTGCTGTTCTGGTCCACGTTTGGCTGCACAGGTAAGGGAAACAGCCTAACGTAATCCCAGAGAATCAAACAGGCAGTTAAGTTACACCAGGATCAATGGCACAATGATGTAGGTTGGTCTGAGGAAGTCAACAAGTCCTTTTCCCTTTTTGGCAACTATAAAGCTAGACAAAAAATTGTCAAAAACTTGAAACTGTCCAAAGGCATACAACAAATTGAGGCATTTATTCAGGAAAACTATTCTACTTAGGGAAAAACAGCAAGTCTGTGGCAATTTTGCTTAGGGCTGCTCCCAGCCGCCCAGTTCTGTTGGGGTGGTCTTTAACTGGGGCAAGGCAGGCCCTGGAAACCAGTGGCTTTGCTGCCGCCGCCAGAGGGGACTAATTTGATGTGGAGCATTGTTAGTTCAAGTGGCAATTTTGGTGGCAAGTGAGTAAAATATTAAAATGTGTTCATAAAACAAAAGAAAATGGCCAGAAACTATGCGGGGTCTGACATTTTACCGTATGAGTTAACAAGACAGTTATCGCTCTCTGGTGGGTGCTGGCAAAAGCACAAGTCTTTTATCAAAGACAAAGAACTTTGCTACCCAGGACAATGGCAGCAGCCAGGACTTCTTGTTTGCTTCCGTTAGTTCCCATGCCCCCCAAGTCCCACAAAGACCATGCAAAGGCCCAAGATGAGTGCGAAGAACCCTGGACTTGACGGATTTACCAGTTTTACGGCAAGGGAAAGCAAGCCTCCAGACAAAGAACAAGCCTGCTGTGCATATCTCATTTAATTCTGTTACGGTCAGAAACATACTTTGTATGGTTTGTCTTTTTAAATCTACTGAGACTTGTTTTGTGTCCCACTATATGGTCTATCCTGGAGATGGTTCCGTAAAGGGTGGGGAAAAAGTAGGTTAACAGTTGTGAGTACATGAAACACACAGTTTGTTCTTGTATTATTATTTATTATTTTTCATATGAACTGTAAACTTAATTTTGCCTCACCCTATGTTTGAAAAGTGTGCCTGTAATTGTTAGGTGAAGATTCTATAACATTAGTTAGGTCAAGCTGGTAGTTAAGAGTTGTTCAAGTCATTGATACTCTAATTTTCTTTAAATATTTTATCAGTTTTTGAGAGTGGGATATTAATATCTGCAATTATCACTGAACTGTGTATTTATTCTTTGAATATAACAATTATAAATGCTCATGTATCTAACAACAGAGCCCCCAAATACTTGAATTCAAAGAAATCTGGGAACCACTAATATTTGAAATCAAACAACCCACTCCTAAATAATCCAAGGTCAAATAAGAAATCACAATAAAAAACTTTAAAATATTTTTAACTGAATGAAAATGAAAACATAATAAAAATTATGAGATGTATCTAAATCTATGTTTAGAGGGAAATTTAAATACCTTTATCATAAGTGAAGAAAAGTCTCACAAGAATTCACCTACGCTCACACCTTACTAAGAAGTGTATATCTTAAATGCTCGCTCGCTCTCTCATACACACGCGCACACACACACGTGCCCACCGCCCCCAACAGTGAAGTAAAGGGCTGTCAATTAATTTCACTGTAGGAATCTTTTCACAATGTATATATACGTCAAACCATCTCGTTGTACACTTTAAATATTGGGTTGCCCAAAAAGTTTATTCAGTTTTTCTGTATGCTGGTTCTAGTAGTGCTCAGTTGTCTTTAACTTCTTTCAAAATAATTCTTTCAAGTGTATTGTGACAGCTGTCATATACCAGAGTGCATTTGAAAAAAACATCAAAATCAGTGAATTTTTGTGTAGCCATTTTAACACTGAAGATGGAAGAAAATAGGCAACATTTTTGGTGTATCATGCTTTATTATTTCAAGAAAAATAAAAATGCAACTGAAATGCCAAAAAAACCCCAAAAAACAAAAGCCATAAACAAAAAAGATTTGTGCAATGTATGGAAAAGATACCATGACTGACTGAATGTGTCAAAAGTGGTTTGCGAAGTTTCATGCTGGACAATTCTCCATCATCAGGCAGACCAGCTGCAGGTGACAGCGATCAAATCAAGACATT